TGCAGGCCAGGGGGCACGTGGAGACGGAGGCCATGCAGAATCTCTGGTCCTTTTCAAATTCTAGTTATTCCAAATCCACAGAGACCACTCCACAGAGGAGTGAGCCCCCCCAGAGAGAAGACCGTCTCAGGGCAATGTCTGCCCCGGCACGGGCAGCAGCCTCCTGCCCACCGACACTGGGGCGTCCCTTCACCAACCCCCCTTTGCAGGGCAGCGGGAAGCAGCTGCCCACCCTCCCCCTGCCCGGCCCGGCCACCTGGGACCAAGCAGGCCTCTCCTAGCAAACCCGTCCCTTTCGGGGCAGCCCTTTCTGCCCACGGGGGTCACGCGGGCGGCCTTCTCCCTCCTCTCCTTTCAGAATAAACCTGCCCTTTCCATACAGCTGACCGTGCGTGGGGCAACTCGCTGGAGACCAGCTCCAGCCAGAAGTCGTGCCAGGGGTCTCAGGGAGCAGAGGACGGCGTCGGCTGAGTTTTCCCTCAGAGGGCTGAGGGGAAGTGGAGCGCGGTAGGAGTGAGGAAGACACAGACGCCTTATTTCGTGCAAGTGTCTCCTGCTGAGGGCCTCAGCGGGTCTTTGTCTATACCTTAAGGCGAGCGGTGGGACGACATCAGCGTAAGCACTGAGGCAAAGACAACCAGTACATATTTCCTCGTGATCATGTAAAGACTCCCTTGGCCTCACACCTGTAGGCCGTTTCTTTGGTAACCTAAGAAGAGTTCGTTTCCTAGGTGCAGCTCACTGACTAGCAGGATCACTCGTACAAGACAGCACAACGTTTGGCAACAATTAAACTTTCCCAATTACGAAAGTGGGTGTAAAATTCCTATTCTACATTCAATTACTAAAATCAGTCTATCTCCTAGCACTAATTAACTTGGCTAATATATTGATTACTTCAAAGTGGTGTAAAACAACTCATCAAGGGCCTCCCCGGTGGTGCAGCGGTTAAGCACTGGGTTGCGAAGCTGCCCGCAGCCTCTGCAGCACCAGTTCAATCCCTGGTACCCAGGTGAGGGTCCCACATGGCGCGCAGACCTCTCCTGCCGCCCGCGGCTCCCCTCGGCAGTGTCCTTCGGTCCTTCTGCCTGCTCTGCTCCCCGCTCTGGCGCTGGTGAATCCTCTCACCCTCCCGCGCTTCTGACTGTCCCCAGTGCTTGTATAAATAAATAAATAAATCTTTTTTTAAAAAAAAAAAACAACTCATCAAATCTATGTGAGTTCTACCGAAGTCTCACGCTGAACTAGAAATTCCTCACCTCCACGCGGCCTGCAAACTCCTGACCTCTTGCAAACACCAGGCAGGTGATGTACTGTTGCCGAAAGCAGGTGCCCCCCAGGTTAGGCTGTGGTTTCCCGGCACAGCGGGTTCAGGGCAGCTTGTTCTCCATAGCTCTCAGGGCCAAAACATTTCTTTCCTGACTATACCTTAAACAAGTTTTCTTCTTTTGTGATAGTTCATGCGTAAGAACAATGAGCCAATTGTCACCTGGGCCCCAACTAGGTTTTCACAGGCCAATGAATAACTAACTTACTTCAGCATTAACCAGGAACAAAGAGGGGAGCTCGAGCAGGCGTTGCCATGGAGACTCCCTAGTTCAGATCTTCTTTGGGAAGTGCAAGAACTTCCTTCTTCTGGGAAGGACAACTTTCCCTCTTCGGGGGAGCCCAGGAACTCCCTGCTTCTCAGGAGTCTCCCCCCATGCCCGGACCTCGTCAAGGGACAGCATGGGAGGCGCAGCCTGGTGCAGAAACTCGCGGGTGCTGCTGACAGGGGCGCTCTGGGGACACTACCCAGAGCGAGCCCGAGGACCCTGCACTCGGAACCGACATCTCCAAACCAGCTTCCTCAACTACTGTGAGTTGTCACCCTGTGGCCTCCTGGCCACGCTGCCGGGAACGTCGGTGTTTTGGCTTTGATTTGCATTTTACAAATGAGCAGTGAAGGTGAGCGTCTCCCCCTGAGACCTGCTTATTCTCGTCCTTTGCCCATTTTCCTGTCGCTCCTTCGTAAAAACACAGCACGTCAGAAATCACCCATCACAGAAGCGCCACCCCCACCCCCGCCCCCGCCGCACTGGGCTTTTCCCTCCCTTCGCTGGCGCTGGCGTTGGCGCTCCCGGCGCCTCCACTCTGTGTTGGGGGCGTCCGTGTTCTTCTTGAGTTCCGGGCACATTTGCTCTGTAACGAGTTCAAGTTGCTCGGGGTGTGTGTGCGAGGCGAATCACACACACACAAAGCTTCTCCGGCAAAGTCTATGACCCCAAACCACCCCAGGGGGGCCCCTCCGGGTCACACAGGGGCAGCCGCCAGGACCTGCCTCGGCCTCTCAAGGGCGCCGCAGGCTTTGGCCGGGGCTGCTGGGCTGTTCGCTGTGCAAAGGTCGACTGAGTGTCGGTGCAGGTTTGCCCCGGGGGCTGCGCTGCGTGCGTGCGCGTGTGCACGTGTGGACACGCTTTCCTTCCCTTCTCCTCCATCTTCCTCATGAGTCTTTACCTGTAAAAGCTCGGGGAGACAGGGGACTGTGGAGCCAAATTCTCTCTACAACAAGCCGTTCTCAAGCCGGCCACGGCGCCCGGAGCCTGTGTCCAGGTGGCGGCGCCCCCCCTGGCATCCTGTCTTGCCAGAAACACCCTTGAATAGAGCAGGGCAGGACAGGCCTGGGGACTGGCTGGCGGCTGCGAGCCCACTCCCCGCCTCCTCCTCGGCACCAGGGGCTGGGGCGGCCCAGGCCCGCCCGGAAGGGGAGCCGGAGCCGCAGGGCCCCTGAGGCTTCTGCCTTGTGCTGTGCTGTCAAGGTGACACAACCCTCACAGATGCCAGGGGAGACAAGGGCGTGGGGTGGGGGAGTGGCAGAGGGGGAACAACCCTGCTCTGCAGGAGCCGCTCCAGCCCCGGGGACTGCCGCTCTTCTCAGTCCCCCACCCCTCCTCCTGGCTCTCTGACTGCCTCCCCATTGCTCTCCCTTTTGGGTGCTTCTCCCCTACGTCCCCTGTGCTTCTGCCCGTGTCCTTCGGACGCCCTTGCGGCGTGGGACGGCACTGCCCATTGAAATGATCTGTTTGTTTTCAAGCGCGGTTAGAGGTCCCGCCGTGGAAGCAGAAACAGCGAGAGTGGGTCACATTTGTCAAGCCTCTGCTGTTTCGCCAACAGGTGGAGGTGGCGGGTGTTGAATGGGGTGCTACCTTCGCCCCAGCGCCGTGCACAGCTCCTCAGGGTTGTTGGCCCTGCCGGAGGCTGGTGTCCCGGGGGCAGGTCCTGCCCGGGCCCTTCTTAGCATCTTCTTAGCATCTCCGTCCACTCTGGGTGGCCAGGGGCTCCTCAAGGCCTCAGGCTGAGCATTCCTGGGTGGGTCCCTTCTTGCTCCACAGATAAAGATGCATCAGTGACACGCCTCTCCTGCCCCGCGGTGGAGAGCCCGCCTCGGCGAGGGGTGTCCGGCAGGTGCGCTCCTCTCACCTGGTGGGCCCAGGGACTGGCAGGTGTTTAGATTCACTCCAGGGAGTGCATGTTCCCTGGGTCTGGAGCCTTGAGCGGCCGGCAGGCAGAGGCTGGGCCTGGCCAGGCTCCAGGTGGGCAGGCTGGACTGAGAGACCTGCTGTGGTTCTTCAGGTCTTGTCCTCTGCATCCTGATTCCCAAGCATCCTTAAGCCTGCTCCCTCGGCTCCCGCCGCCTCTGTGGGGTCTCTGGTCAGTCAGCCAGAGTAGCTCTCTGAGGTTTTTGACTAGGAGAGCTCCTGGGTGCAACAACGCCTCTGCCAGTCACCCCTGTGGCCTGGTCCACGCAGAAGGGCACGGCCTGGCAGAGACCCCAGCTGTGTTTCTAGGCTCCTCGCTGTCTCGGGCCAGTCTGCAGCCACTGGCTTGGTGCCTCAGTCAGCAGGCCCACCAGGCCCTGAGTTATCTTTAGCTTGACTTGCCAGGATGGATACCATTGGCTGGGACCAACTTCCCAGAGAACGGCATAGGTGGCCGGCTCCAGTGACAAGACAGTGCCAGTTTCTTGCTGTCAAGGGTCACCTTGGATAGGAGAGGAGCTAAATGAACTCTCAGGCTGCTGGAAGTCAGCTGGGTCCCCAACAATGTGTAAATTTCCATGCCAATAGCGGCAATGGAAACGTGGAGAAACACATTCTTGCTAATACAAGATCATCCCAGAGAACTACCCTCAAGACCACATTAAGGATCCTGCTATCTAGGGAACTGCATAGGGGTGATGGCCGCGCACCGGCCTCCAGGTGCTTAGCCCACCTCACAAGCTGCTGGGAGGGGTGCTGCGCGTCATCTGGGAGGGGGTGCTGTTTGCAGGAAGTCAGTGTGGCTAATGAATTCAGATGCTACCTGGGAGGTAGAGTTGTTAAAGTCTCAGCACTATGAAGCTATAACCAGCCACTGCGGCCTGAGTTCTATCTGCGCCTCCCATGCTGTCCCTTGACGAGGTCCGGGCATGGGGGGGGAGACTCCTGAGAAGCAGGGAGTTCCTGGGCTCCCCCGAAGAGGGAAAGTTGTCCTTCCCAGAAGAAGGAAGTTCTTGCACTTCCCAAAGAAGATCTGAACTAGGGAGTCTCCATGGCAACGCCTGCTCGAGCTCCCCTCTTTGTTCCTGGTTAATGCTGAAGTAAGTTAGTTATTCATTGGCCTGTGAAAACCTAGTTGGGGCCCAGGTGACAATTGGCTCATTGTTCTTACGCATGAACTATCACAAAAGAAGAAAACTTGTTTAAGGTATAGTCAGGAAAGAAATGTTTTGGCCCTGAGAGCTATGGAGAACAAGCTGCCCTGAACCCGCTGTGCCGGGAAACCACAGCCTAACCTGGGGGGCACCTGCTTTCGGCAACAGTACATCACCTGCCTGGTGTTTGCAAGAGGTCAGGAGTTTGCAGGCCGCGTGGAGGTGAGGAATTTCTAGTTCAGCGTGAGACTTCGGTAGAACTCACATAGATTTGATGAGTTGTTTTTTTTTTTTTAAAAAAAGATTTATTTATTTATTTATACAAGCACTGGGGACAGTCAGAAGCGCGGGAGGGTGAGAGGATTCACCAGCGCCAGAGCGGGGAGCAGAGCAGGCAGAAGGACCGAAGGACACTGCCGAGGGGAGCCGCGGGCGGCAGGAGAGGTCTGCGCGCCATGTGGGACCCTCACCTGGGTACCAGGGATTGAACTGGTGCTGCAGAGGCTGCGGGCAGCTTCGCAACCCAGTGCTTAACCGCTGCACCACCGGGGAGGCCCTTGATGAGTTGTTTTACACCACTTTGAAGTAATCAATATATTAGCCAAGTTAATTAGTGCTAGGAGATAGACTGATTTTAGTAATTGAATGTAGAATAGGAATTTTACACCCACTTTCGTAATTGGGAAAGTTTAATTGTTGCCAAACGTTGTGCTGTCTTGTACGAGTGATCCTGCTAGTCAGTGAGCTGCACCTAGGAAACGAACTCTTCTTAGGTTACCAAAGAAACGGCCTACAGGTGTGAGGCCAAGGGAGTCTTTACATGATCACGAGGAAATATGTACTGGTTGTCTTTGCCTCAGTGCTTACGCTGATGTCGTCCCACCGCTCGCCTTAAGGTATAGACAAAGACCCGCTGAGGCCCTCAGCAGGAGACACTTGCACGAAATAAGGCGTCTGTGTCTTCCTCACTCCTACCGCGCTCCACTTCCCCTCAGCCCTCTGAGAAAGAGAAGAGAAGAAAACACTTTACCACCGCAGTCCTCTCCTCTCTGAGACCCCCGGCACGACTTCTAGCTGGAGCTGGTCTCCAGCACGCAGCAGACCCCTCCTGTCTCCCCGCTGCTCCCCTCGGCAGTGTCTGTCTGCCTGTTCTGCGCCCCACTCTGTCTCTGGGGAGTCCTCTCACCCCCCACACCTCTGGCTGCACCCCAGCCCTTGTGTGCATAAATAAATAAAATAAATCTTTAAAAAATAAATAATTAAAAGGGCTAGTTGGTGAAAAGCGATGACATTCAAAAATCTTTGGAGTGGTGCAGAGAAGTTTCTAAAAATGACACAAAACTCTGAATCTATAAAAAGGCAGGACGGGGCGCCCCGGTGGCGCAGCGGGTTGAGCGCCGCGCTGTGAAGCTGCCCGCAGCCTCCGTGGCGCCGGTTCGATTCCCGGCCGGCAGGGGCGATCCCCACACGGCGCGCGGTGCTCCCCTCGGCGGTGCTCCCCTCCGTCCGCCTGCTCTGCCCCGCTCTGGCTCTGGCTCTGGCTCGTCCTCTCAGCTCCCGCGCTCCGGGCCGGCGCCCGGCTCTTGTCTAAGTAAATAAATAAATAAATAAACGCGCAAACACAGCAGCCAAAAGCCCCAGGACGGCAGCGGCGTCTGGCCGAGCCCCGGGCGCTCCCGCGGGCGCGCTCGGGCTTCCGCGCGGGGAGACGCGGCCTCGGCCGGCACAGCGCGGGCGCCCCGGGCGCGGGTCACCGCCGCGACGCCCGGGCGAGGGGACGCGGCCCCGCGGGGCTCGGACGGCGACAGGCGCCCGCCGCCCGGGGGTGCCCGCCCGCAGGTGCCGGGGCGCGGCGGCCCGTCGGGCCGGCAGGGGTCCGGCCGGCGCCCCCGCCCGCGGGGGCTCGCCGGGAACTACAACTCCCACAAGGCCCCGCGCCCCGCCCCGCCCCGCCGCCCGCCAATGGGCGAGCCGGGCCCGCCGGGCCGTGCTCGGCGGCCAATGGGCGCGGCGGGGGGCGGGCCTCGCCCGTCCATTGTTCTCGGCGCCCCTCGGGCCGGGCCGCGGCGAGGCGCGGGGCGCGCGGGCCGGGTGCGCTGGCGCGGCCGGGCGGGACGCGGCGCCCGACGGTGAGCGGGCGGCGGCGGGCGGGGTCGCGCGCGGGGCGGCCCGAGGGGGAGGAACGGGCCCGGCCGGGCGCGGAGCCGGCGGGGGGCGCGGGCCCCGGTGGACGGAGCCGCGGGGGACGCCCGACCTCGCGGGCCCTGGGGCGCGGGGGCCCCGGGGCGCGGGGGCGCGGCCCGCGCTGGGGCCGGAGGGGAGGCCGGGCCTCGGGGGGCGTGTCCGGCCCGGGGCCCCCAGCCCGGCCGGGGGCGCCGAGTCCGCGGACAACCCCGGTCCGCCCGCTGCCCCCGAACCCAGAAGCTCCGCGTCCCCGGGCGGCTGCTCCGGGGGTTGGTCTCGGTGGAAAGTTTCCCCCTTCCGTGCCCGCGTCCCCGGAGGCCGTCAGGGCTCGGGGGGCGCTCGAAAATGAGCCTGTTAGTCCCGAAATCGCCCGTCCTGCCGCCGCCCCGCGCCTGCGGCCCCTTCCAGTGCCCCCTCGCCCCCGCCCCGTGCTCGGCCCGGCCCGGGCCTGCTTCATCCTCGTGCTCGCAGCCGAGGCCCGCCCGCCTCGCCAGGCCCTGCGCGTCCCGCAGCAGCATCCAGCAAACCCCTGAACCCCGCAGCCCCCCCACGGGGGCAAACCAGGCCCTGCCGGCCCGTCCTCCCTCGGCGCGGGGCTCACGCTGTGGATTTGCTGCCGGGTGTTTAAGGTGTCAGATTTTTTTTGCAACTGAGAAGATACCGCTTCCCAAAGCTGGGGGATGTTCAAGATAAGATCCCGAGGGGCTGAGGCTGGGCTGGGGAGCACTTTAAACTCGGGTAGGGTAACGGTGCCCTCGGGGCGGCCTCTCCCTCCTCCAGGCTCTGGGCGCCTTGACCTTTGACCCACGGCCAGTCCTCCCTTGTCCCAGAGATAAGAGAGGGTGTTCCTAGCTCTGCTTTCTGGGGGGTCACGGAGGTCGCGGAGCTGCTGGATGTGAGGTCAGGGTCGTGTCCTCTGCAGCAAGCAGAACTGACGGGGAGCAGCAGAATTCCGTCCCGTTATAAAGAGCTTTGACTTTCCTCCTGTCCCTTTGTGCTGTGATTGTTCCGTCTGGCCATGGAGATGTTCCTCGTGTTCCTCGGGAACAGGCTGTTTCCTTTAAGAGGGGCAGGAAGCCTGTGCTGGTTTGCGGATGTCAGACTCCCTTGGTTGGCCCCGGGCTGCTGTGGGGCTGCCGTGAGCATGGCTTTTCGGACCGTCTGCTCAGGAGTCAGCTTCTCTTTCTTTTTTCACAGGGCTCCTTGTTGAGGAGGGAGTCAGTCGACTTCTCAGAGCTGAAGTTCCAGTTGAGGAGGCAGAGCGATTGCCCGAGAACGCAGATGATGGCTGCCGAGGTGCCCAGAGTGGCCACTCCTCTCAGCCCGGTGGTCCAGGTGCCTCGGGAGGACGCTGGCCAGGAGGAGGTCACTGCCGCGATCCTGGAGGATGACGCCTGGGTGCAGGAGGCTGTCCTGCAGGAGGATGGCCCTGAGTCTGAGCCGTCTTCCCAGAGTGCCGCCAAGGGCAGTCCCCAGGAGGCAGGGGCAGGAGGGCCGCAGGGTGCGCTCAGCAGACTTCGAGAGCTGTGCCGGCGCTGGCTGCGCCCGGAGGTGCACACCAAGGAGCAGATGCTGACCGTGCTGCCCAGGGAGATCCAGGCCTGGCTGCAGGAGCATCGGCCCGAGAGCAGCGAGGAGGCCGCGGCCCTGGTGGAAGACCTGACCCAGACGCTCCGGGATCGTGGTGAGACAGAACCCCAGAGGGGAGGGGGCGCGCCTGTCCAGTGGAGGGGAGCGGGTGGATCTGGGGTGAGCCTTACTTGGCATACATCTGGCAGCTCCAGAAGTTCAGTTCTGGGGGCTGGGGGACGGGGCGTTCACAGGTGCGCACAGCGCGTGCTCTGGCTTCCTCCGGAGCGCCCGGGAAGCCCTGAGGGGTGCGGGGCAGGGTGCTGACAGCCCTACAAAGCCCCTTGGTCCCTTCACCTGGTTGTGCAACAAACAGCCAAATATTTGAAGTTCTGGCGATTAGAAAAACCAAATAGTCCTGTTTTTAAGAAGTGACTGTTTCGGGGAGCCAGGGTGAGTGACAGGGAGCCAGCTGACGCGGGGGCTCTGTGGTGTGAGGGCCCCGGACTCTTACAAGAGTCACTGGTGGCTTGAGCTCCCTGCGGGGTGGCGCGCTCGCCCCGTGCCGCTGCCGCGTGTTCGGGTGGGATCCGGACTGCTCCGCCAGCCCCCGGTAAACTGCACTCCGCGGTCACCAGCCTCCCCCGGAGCTGCCGTGCCATGGCGGGTGCGGGACGCCTGTGGGGCGGCAGAGGCTGGGGAGGTGGTGACGGAGAGTGATTTTAGGAGGTGGTGGTTGGGGGGGAGGCGCGGGCAGAGGCTTGAGCTGAATGCCAAGTTCTTGAACTAGGCAAGCTGAACTAGCAAGTTCTGAACTAGGAGCCGCGGGGCGCGGGAGGAAGCGGCGTCTGGCAGCAGGACGGTGGGTTGGTGAGTGTGGGGAGGCTGAGGCAAGGGCAGCCAGGAAGCCGCTGAGACGGGGTTGGGGGGGGCGGGAGGGCTGCAGATGGGGCCGCTGAGGTGGGGCTGCAGGGCCGGGAGCAGATGGGGCACCAGGGAGAAGCTGGCACGCGCCGTCTCTTCCTGTGCGCCAGCACCCCCCGCGGGCGCTCACCAGCCTGCCGGGCAAGGAGAAGCAGGCTTGCTAAAGGCAGAGACTGAGCGAGTCCCCTGCCGGGGTGCAGCTGGATTGAACCCGGCCGAGACCGCATTTCCTTCCTGGTGGATGCAGCCAGAGCGCTGGGGGCGCCGGAGGTGGGGGGTGCCGCAGGCGGAAGGACGGAGGCCAGGTGACTAACTCAGAGGTGTCTCTTCTGGGGGATTCAGAAGACGAGGGAAGAAAAGGGCGGTTGGTTTGGGCAGAATTGTGGCAACACCCCGCATCGTGGGGCAGCGTGGGGAACATGAGTAACGGTGTCCTTTGGAGAGGGCGAGTGCAAGCTCAGCCTGCCCCGGCACGTGCAGGCGCCCCTCCCCCCTTGCTGCAGCCCCGCCAGCCACAAGTGCTGCTGAATCTTCATCCCCTCCCCGTGCCATGAAGTCCTGGTCTGTCCTTGGTTAGTATTCAGCGGGCACCACCGTGTTTATGTTGTCAATAAAGACATGTTAAGAAATAGAGAACATTTCTCCCTGGCGGCGCAAAGGGTTGAGTCTCAGCACCATCAAGCTATCCCCAGACTCTGCAGCACAAGTCCGATCCCCGGCCAGGGAGCTACCCACAGGGCGCAGCAGACCTCTCCTGACTCCCCGCTGCTCCCCTCAGCAGTGGATTTCAGTAGATACCCCCGTTCTGCTCCCCACTCTGTCTCTGGTGAGTCCTCTCACGCCCGCACCTCTGGCCTGCACCCCAGCTCTTATATGCATAAATAAAAAAAAAGCTTGTTTACAAGGAAAAAAAAAAGAAATAGAGAATGTGTTTCTGAGTATGGGGGTGGCTTTCCCATTCCTCAGGTCCCCAGGCTCAGGGACCGCCTCCTCAACGGGCTGTTACAGCGAGCAGGTGGCCTGGGTTTCCTGGTGCGGGGCCCGTGCTCGGGTTGGCAGCGCACTTTCGGTGGCACCAGCTTCGGATTTGGAAGCAGGTCCAGGCAGCCACGCCCCTGAAGGGCATCTGCCCGCAGGTTTCTCGGCTGGTGTGTGTCGTGGGTGGCGACAGACCACTGGCCTGGGGGGTAGTGGGCGCTGCTGGTCCTGGAGACCCCTGCTGTGGAGAACTGGCTGCCGTGTCTCCCAGGCGTACTGGGAAACCACTTAGGAAAAGCGGGCCTGCTCTCTGTGGCTTGTTACAGGTCACCCAGGCAGAGCCCACAGCTCTTGGTGGGCTTTTCCCCTGGTGATGTGGAGCATGACAGCCCCGATTTCCCGGGACAAATATTCTAGTAAATCATCAAAATATCTGCGCCTCAAGCAGCTGGCAGCCAAAGCAAGTGTCTGGGGCTGACTCATAAAACTCTAAGTGCCCTGGGGCCAGAAGCCACTTCTCAAGCTGTATGGCCCAGTTTGGGGTGAAAGCAGAGCCACAGGGGTCTGTGAGGTGAGCAGGGCAATACTGTTAGAGCCTGGACATCTCCCTAAACTAAAGGTCTCGTGCTGGGGCTGGTGTCCCTTAGAGACGCATGACGGACAACAGACTCGCGGTCACAGCCACAGCACCCCCTCCCACCCGCGCCCTCCAGACCAGCAGAATTGGGGTGGAAGAGGAAATCCTCCTAACAGACACTTTTTATCTCATGGGGCCCCCATCCTAAAAGAAACTGCTGGCATCAGGGAGGAGCAAAGGTGCAACAGTGGAGCTCAAAATGGATCAATTCCTGGCTCATAAATCCTCTGGACGTGAGTCTGTGTGTGGTTCCTGGACCGGCAGCCTTAGCGGCATCTGGAAATGTGTTAAAGAGATTCCTGGTCCTGGCCCTGGACATACTGAACTTTGGGGGTGAAGCCCAGCGCTCAGGTTGCTAAGCCTCGAAGGTGATCTAGATTCATGGTGGGGGGGGCGCCACTGCATCTCTGGTTCTCAATCTAGCTGCGTATCGGAAAAACTTGGGGCTCTGGAGCCCACCGATTGGAACCCCGGCTGTAGGGCCTTTTGCTCAAAGTGTGGTCCTTGGACCAGCGCATCGGCATCACCTGGGAGCTCGTTAGATCTGCTGTAGGGCCCGCGGGCCCGGGGACCTGCAGGTGATGCGCCTGCAGTCCCAGAGAGGCGCTCCTCGGGGCTCGAGAGGGTGGGGGTTGTCAGGGCCCCATGGGGAGCCGGAGTCACGGCCACCCTCCCTGTCACCTGGCTGTCTCTGGGCACAGCTTACCCGTTTTGAGCTTGCTTCCCCAGGGAAAACGGCCCTTTAACAACAGCCCAGCGAAAGGACTCGTTTTCCTTAACAAGGTGGGGAGGCGCCTTTAAAGCTACGGATCTCGGCTCAAGGCAGGCCGGCCGCGCGGCTCTCCCAGCGGATGTCGCTATACCCAACACTGGCTGTCCCGTGTCCACGCTGACCTTGGGCAAGGCATCTGCACCCCGCAGCTTTCAGGCGGACGAGGTTCCTGCCCTGTCGTCTGGGGCAGAGACGGAGGTGCTCTCTCCCCCAGGCCGCGGGCTCCCGGGAGCGCGCTGTTTAATAGCTGGAGTGTTTTTTCTTAAGATTTACTTTATTTATACATATAAGAACTGGGGTGCAGGCCAGTGGGGGGGGGGTGAGAGGACTCCCCAGAGACAGAGTGGGGAGCAGAACAGGCGGATCTACTGAAATCCCCTGCTGAGGGGAGCGGCGGGGAGACAGGAGAGGTCTGCTGCGCCCTGCGGGGAGCTCCCTGGCCGCAGTGGCTGGCGCTGGCTTCACAGCGCCGAGCCCTAACCCCTGTCCACCAGGGAGGCCCCACATCTGGGGTTTTGTTTCACTGGCCTGATTTGCCCACTGATGCTCTGATTACCGAGATTGTGCGTGTTTCGGCGTCTGGCGCGCGGTCTGCAGGCGCTGGGTGTTACTGTGGGGAAACCGAGTCCCGTTTTCCTTCTCGCGTCCGGGACGCCATCTATCAGCTGGTCCGGCTCCTGAGCCACGGCGCTGGGTGAGCGTCCTTGGCGGACAGTGCGCCTCCCCAGGGTGCTCACAGCCTGGCAGGTTGTATCCTCTCCCTCGTGGCACGCGCAGGTTGATCGCGGGGAGGCAGGAGGGACGCCTGCACGGGCGCGGGCGGGCTTCCAGGGCCACGCGGCTTTACGGAGTCCGGCTCTAAGAGTTCGGTCTTCGCCGCCGCCCTCCTTCGAGAGCCCCAGTTTTGCTCTGGGCTCCCCGTGGTCTGGCTCGCTCCTGGGAGTCTCTTCCACCCTTGCGAGGTCTTTCTCTGCATCTCATGTCTTTGCTTTTCCCCTTCCAGTCCTCTTTCTCCTTCTTTGCTCTCCAAGGTGCCTATTTTCTTTTGGGTTCCTTCCATTTTGTCCTCATTTCCTGGACTCTCGACTCCTTCCCGAGCTCTGGCAGCCGAATTTCAGCTCTTCCTGTTGTCTCGCTGCGGGCCTGGCTCACGGAGGCGGTGCCGTGGTATAGCCTTTCCAGGGGTGACAGATGGTTACTTTCCTGACGACATCTCCCACGTGAGGCAGAGGCGCCTCTACACCTACACGGAAGGCGGCCGTGGGACACGTGACTCTGCTCCCGCCCTCGCCGCTTCGGCTTCTCTGTACCCCAGTCCTGCCCCCCACCAAATACACATTGCCTTGGAGGGCGAGTCCCTCACCTTTAGGGGGTGAACTTCTGCCTCAGCCTTTGGAGATCGCCTGGACCCCGCCCCTCACTTTCCACACTTGTTTCCTCACATTTTGGTGTCTGCACATGAATCGTTCTCCTAATTTCATTGAAAATGAAGTTTGTGGGGCCTCCCTGGTGGCGCAGCAGTTGAGCGCTGGGCTGTGAAGCTTCTGCAGCTTCTGCAGCGCCAGTTCAATCCCCGGCCGCCGGTGAGGGTCCCACATGGCGCGCAGACCTCCCCTGCCGCCCGCTGCTCCCCTCAGCAGTGTCCTTTGGTCCTTCTGCCTGCTCTGCTCCCCGCTCTGGCTCTGGGGAATCCTCTCACCCTCCCGCGCTTCTGACTGTACCCAGTGCATGTATAAACAAATTGATAGATCCAAAAAAAAAAAAAAAAAAAAAATGAAGTTTGTGTTTTTGTTTTCCTTGTTGCTTCTGAAATCTTCCCAGAACATGCCAACTCTTTGATCTTAAAGCAGTGAAAGCCTTCTTCGCTCATGTCCCTATTTGGAAGAAGGCGATACGAAAGTCATCCAAAAAATGTTTTTGGTGATGGTTGCTTGAAGAAAAGCAGCCAGGGCCTTGGCTTGGAGGTCCTTCTAGAAGTGATGTGACAGCACAGCTCTGGGCTAGAAGCATGCAAAACACTGCAGGAAGTTGAGGAAGCGCAGCTGTCCTGTTTGCTTTGTGCCCCCAGGCCTACGGGGGTGGGGCCGGGGGCAGTTCCTTGTGCCCACAGATGACCAGGTGCTGCAGCGTGAGGTGTAACTATATGCTTAGTTGCTGGTTTACAAACTCCCTGACTAAAGGCACGAGCGGAGCCCAGGGTCTGCCGTGGCGGGGTCAGGTCGGCTCTGCTCACGTGGAGAGTGACGCTGACTGACAGGGAGGAATCGCCGCTGGGGCTCTGTCGTCATCACTGTCTTGCCTGCTATGGACGGAACCGCTTCCTCGGGTGGCCTGACGTGCGTGTTAGCAACAGCCAGGCCAAGGCTTTTACAAATGATTGATTGCTGTCTGTACTGAATTCCAGAGAAATTACAATGAAAGAGACAGTGGCAGGGGAAGGATGTAGTGAGCCCAAACCGCAGGCTGTTAAAGCACCCAGGACGCCTGCTCTGAGCTGTTGGCGTCACCCGTCCCAGAGGGCAAGCAACGCAGGAGCCGCCGTCGGGGGCAGGAGGCGGACAAGTGGTCACTGGAGAGCCGCTCTTGGCCGTGTCTCGGTCAGGGGTTTCTGCCTTGGACTCACCTCGAGGACGCCGTGGTGTAAACAGTGTCACAGCGGCTTCCTGGCAGCAGTGTCATGTTCCTGACAGGCCTGAATGCCTAACGGTGCTCCCGAGGGGTCGACAGCCTCAGCCAGAGCCACCCGGTCCGCGTGCGTTCAGAGCACAGCGCTGCACGGCGGCAGGGCCCTGGCTCAGGCTCACGCTGCTCTGCGGTTCTGACTTAATCTGGGGTGGATGCAAGCACATCTGAGGAGGTTCGTTCTCGTCCACCAGACCCTTCATTTCTTCCACCCAGTTCCTTGGTAACTGTTGGCAGCAGGGAGTCTGCCGAGGTCTGGAAGGCAGCTGTTTGGTATCAGGGTGGAAGGCTTCCACTGCAGAGAAACCGGAGGGCCCTTTTGACTGCCCACATGCTGTCCCCGCTCATCTGTGGCGACTGTAGAGTGCTTGTTGCGGGGCCCCCTTCTTCCCAGTGTCCTGCCTGCCTCTCAACCTATGAGATTGTAAACCTCAGGCGTATTTTGACGCAAGAGATTGTTATGTAATTTCCTTTGAAGTGGAGTTTTGGGGAGATAAAAACATACATGTGCTCATCACATTTAATTGCGCGCCTGCTGGGTATCCATCGGGCACCATGGTCAATGTGAGGGGTCATTGTGGACCCCAGCGCTTTCCCTTGGTTAGTATTTTCAGATTCCCGCCTGACCTCATTTCCCAGTGGAGAAATGGTAGACACAGAACCCGCATCTTTAAGACTCAGAAGTTCCAGGTGAGTATCACAAAGGTCTGAGGCCCGGCAACCAGATGACCGGCTAAGGAGGAAATAAGCCTGGCTTTGAGATTTTGAGGATTCTTTATCCTCTTTATCTTCACTAGACGCTTACTCTTCTACATTTCCCTTTTGGCTTCCTTTTTTCATCATTACAGGAAATTGGATGTAAACTTTACCCTTTTCTTCATTATTCCAGATTTTGAGATCCAGCGTGAAAACGGGGAAAACTGTAACCAGGACCTCTTTGAGGACATGGAGTCCCATGAGATGTTCTCAGACACGCCCGAAGGGGAAGGCACTCAGCAGTCTGATTGGGAAAGTGACCCTGAGAGGGACTGCAGCTCCAGAGGACCCCAGGGAAACACCCCAGGGGAGGACAAGAGGGAGATGCCCTCCCAGGGCAGGGAAGTCGGACAGCTCATTGGCATTCAGGGCACCTATCTGGGCGAGAAGCCCTATGAATGCCCCCAGTGTGGGAAAACCTTCAGCCGGAAATCCCACCTCATCACTCACGAGCGGACCCACACAGGAGAGAAGTACTATAAGTGCGATGAATGCGGAAAAAGCTTTAGTGACGGTTCAAACTTCAGTAGACACCAAACTACTCACACTGGGGAGAAGCCTTATAAATGCAGGGACTGTGGGAAAAGCTTTAGCAGGAGCGCAAACCTCATAACCCACCAGAGGATCCACACCGGGGAGAAGCCTTTTCAGTGTGCCGAGTGTGGCAAGAGTTTCAGCAGGAGCCCCAATCTCATTGCTCATCAGCGAACCCACACGGGAGAGAAACCCTACTCGTGCCCCGAGTGTGGAAAGAGCTTTGGCAACCGGTCCAGCCTTAATACACACCAGGGGATCCACACAGGAGAAAAGCCCTATGAGTGTAAAGAATGTGGTGAGAGCTTTAGTTACAACTCCAATCTGATCAGACACCAGAGGATCCACACAGGAGAGAAACCATACAAGTGTCCAGACTGTGGGCAGAGGTTCAGCCAGAGTTCGGCCCTCATCACCCACCGGAGAACTCACACGGGAGAGAAGCCCTACCAGTGCAGTGAGTGCGGGAAAAGCTTTAGTCGCAGCTCCAATCTGGCCACACACCGGAGGACCCACATGGTGGAAAAGCCCTATAAGTGTGGGGAGTGTGGGAAAAGCTTCAGCCAGAGCTCTAGCCTGATCGCTCACCAGGGCATGCACACGGGAGAGAAGCCCTACGAGTGCCTGACGTGTGGAGAGAGCTTCAGCTGGAGCTCCAACCTCATCAAGCACCAGAGGATCCACACGGGCGAGAAGCCCTACAAATGTGGCGAATGTGGGAAATGCTTCAGCCAACGCTCGCAGCTCGTGGTGCACCAGCGGACTCACACAGGCGAGAAGCCCTACAAATGCCTCATGTGTGGCAAAAGCTTTAGCCGGGGCTCCATTTTGGTCATGCACCAGCGAGCCCACTTGGGAGATAAGCCCTATAGGTGTCCTGAATGTGGGAAAGGCTTTAGCTGGAATTCAGTTCTGATTATCCATCAACGAATCCACACCGGGGAGAAGCCCTACAAGTGCCCCGAGTGTGGCAAAGGCTTCAGCAATAGCTCCAACTTCATTACACACCAGAGAACTCACATGAAAGAGAAAGTTTACTGAGGCAGCAAGAGAACATGAGGGCCTGGTCCTGGAGAGGGAGTACCATGCCGCCCCCCAGTAGGGTTGTCTCTTTAAAAGAGCCACTCTTCAAAAATGCTCTTTGGGGATTTCTGCCAGCATCTTACCCCTGCTTCTCACCGCTAGGATATCTTCCTCTTAGTGTCAGAGCAAACCCTGAGAACAGAGTGTAGGTATAGAAAGTCGGAAACGTGGATCTTTTTCTAGTATGTTTCACGACTTGATCGGCTGCCTCTCTCCTGGCCCTCTGCCTGTTTTCCGTGTAGAATGGAAGACAGCATGGCTCATGGCTCAGGCTGAGTCCTCAGAGAGGTACCAGAGTCTGTTGGTGTGGTGGGGTGATTTTGTGGCCACATTGTGGGGCTCAGGTGCCTTTACCCCAAGCTGCTGGTGTGACAGGCCCTGCCCTTGTCAGAACTGGCTTCCTGTCTTTGTGTTCTGGGCTATGGTTCACTTCAAGGTAAGGGCTTGTCCATTTTTGAGTCATCAACATGAAGGTAAAATTCTTTTCTGTTTCTAGAAAGTGCCAGGAACACTGGAACATGAGGCTAGGGTGTATACGGCCTGGGACCTGTGCCCCAGCAGTCCGCTGTTGGTAAGGGTTGAACAGAGCCTGCCAGGGAAGGTTACATAGCGATTACATTTTGCTTCCTGTCTTATGGTAAGTTAGTTGCCAGGGGAACAACTTGTTTTTGTGGGGTTTTGTCTTTGAGTCTGAAGTTAAGTCTTTCCCAACAGAGGTATAGGCATCACTCTGTTCACTTGTCAGTTCCCTGTTCCTGGTTTTTATTCTGTATGTGCAGATCTGGGGCTCTATACAGCAGCTTTTCAATACCAAGAATATTATTTTGAAGGAACTGAGGACACATTCTTCCCCTGAAGAGATTTGGGAGTTAGGAATTTGTCACTTTTGATCTTGGGATGCTACTGGGGCTTTGTTCTCGGGTCCTTGAGCCTTGAAACAGGAAGGACCGGGATGATAGCAGGTGAAGGGATTCACTTTGAGGGAAAAGAGAATAGATAAGGTACTTCTGGGAAATGTTAAATCTTCTCCTGGGTGTGGGGCCTGGCTTAGAGTGGGCCTTGGATCCTATAGGAATGATGGACACTTAATATTGCCTAATAAAGTAATGTCCCATTCTTCTTTAGTCTTTTTTTTTTAAAAGATTTATTTATGCATACAAGATGAAAGCCAGAGGTGCATGTGTGTGTGTGTGTGTGTGTGTGTGAGAGAGAGAGTGAGAGAGGATTCACCAGAGACAGAGTGGGGAGCAGAACAGGTGGATCTACTAAAATACACTGCTGAGGGGAGCAGCGGGGAGACAGGAGAGGTCTGTGCCACGTGGGTAGCTCCCTGGCCAGCCCGGAAATGAACTCGTGCTGCAGTGGCTGGCGAGAGCTTGATAGCGCTGTCTTTAACCCCTCGCCACCATGGAAGCCCCTAGTGTGTTAAAAACCTAAACTTGGGGGCCTCCCTGGTGGTGCAAGGGGTTAAGTGTCAGCATTATGAAGCTTTATCAGCAGCCACTGCAGCGTGAGTTCAATTCCCCGCCAGGAAGCTGACCCACATGGCACAGTAGCCCTCTCCTGTTTTTCCCACTGCTCTCCTCAGCAGTGTATTTCAGTAGATCTGCCTGTTCTGCTCCCCACTCTGTCTCTGGTGAATCCTCTTACCCTCCTGCACCTCTGGCCTGTACCCCAGTTCTTGTAAGTAAATATATCTTTTAAAAACCCAAAAAGGGCTTCCTGGTAGCACAAGGGGTTAAGATGCAGCACTGTGAAGCTGTCCGCAGCCACTGCAGCATGAGTTCAATCCCCCACCAGGAAGCTGACACACATGGCGCAGCAGACCTCTCCTGGCTTGCCTGCTGCTCCCCTCAGCAGTTTATTTCAGTAGATTCGCCTATTCTGCTCCCCACCCTGTCTCTGGTGAATCCTCTCACCTTCCCACACCTGTGGCCTGTACCCCAGTTCTTAAATGCATAAATAAATAAATCTTTAAAATAAAAAAAACCCTAAATTTGACTCGCTTCCCCATCAAGCACACACCTCTCTTGCCCTGGACTGAAAGTGACCCACATCTCGGGAAGGAGAAACTATCAGATAGCAGAGAACACACCGGTGCTCAGTGAGCACATACATCTCTCTACTGCCCTGTGCCAACCGCACATCAATCTGCTGACCAAGACTCGGAACAGCAGCTTCTGCGGAGGAGCCAGATGGCCTCTTAGCAGATGATTCCACTGGTAATGATGCAGAATTTACAAAACCAGAAAGAATGTGTCTAACTGAGGCAGTGACACCTGTTCACCCACACCACATTGGCTGTGCCATCCGCATCTTTGACCCCATTCCTTCAATTATTTGGCAAACATTTACTGAAGACTTACGTTCTATGCTAGGTGCCAGCGAAAGGCTGTCAATAAGAAACCCCATGACCTTTGTGAAGTTTTGTAGGAGGAAGATTCCCATCTGCCTGGATGGCTTCCCAGGTAACTTTATAAAGTTCTAGAATTTGTGGTTTTGGTATTAAGAAGACAGTGGATCTCTCTTCCCTTCACATCTCAACCTGAAAGAAACTGATAGTAGTTTTTGAGATGACCAGTTTCCTTTTCTACTCCTCCCTATCTAGTAGAAACAAAATATCTTGGAAAAAAGGAAACAGCAGCAGCTCAGAAGTCCTCCCTCAGGCTCCCTGTCTCCTCCAAGCCCAGTCAGGAGTTCTGGTGTAGAGGATGGGTGCAGTGCTGGAACTGCCCAGAATTGGTTCTCCACAGGCTTGTGCCATGAACTATATACCCACAAAGTCTAATTTTCGTTAGAGGTTTCATAATGTGAGGCAAGTCATAATGAGGTTTCCTCCTCTTTTTTTCATGCACTTTCCCTTCCCTTTGGGTTGCATTTATAGTTTACAAAGAGCCATAGTAGCTTCTAGTAGTAATTTACAGCGAAGTTACCAAGCACTGGCACTGCCAGGTTCACATGCCCCTCAGTCTTGACAGCACCCTGGGATGTAGGTGCGTGTCCCTACCTTACCTTGTCACCACTTGAGGAGGGGCCAGACTCAGAAGACAGGTTCATTAAGTCACTTGCCTAGCAGACCTGTAGCTTAACCCCTTGACTCCTGAGGTCAGGTAAGTCCACTGTTATTAAAGTCAGGAGACAGTACCTGAGGAGCAAATGGAGAAATCATTAAAATGAAAGTGACATTGGCAGCTGGCTTTAGCCTTCCCTGCGGGTGTCAAGAGCACCCATAACGACAGTGGGCCCTTCCTGGCGGAGGAGGGCTGAGCCCTGTCCCCCGTCTCTCCTGCCGGGGTTGTTTCTCCTACAGGGACTCAGGCGGGGACCCTGGTGGGCCTCAGGTGGGCCTGCAGCGGGCCTCGGGTGGCCTGGAGGCTCAGGGGGAGGCTGCGCCAACCCCAGGCCCTGCCTGCGCCTGCTGAAGGATCCCGTCTCTGGACCGGGTCCCTGGTCTTTCCTTCCCGTCACCCTCTGCCTGGAGAAGCCAGGCCACGGCCGCGGCGGCGGCGGACGCAGGTCTCCAGGCGGGACGACGAGACCCCAGGGCCTGGAGGAGGGGCCGGCCCCCGCAGCTCCCCGCTTCCTACCGAGTCCCGCGCGCGCGGGCCCGGCCTCCGGCGACCAGGGCCTCCCCGCCCCGCGTGCTCCCGGCAACCTCTCGGGTCGGGCCCCGGGCTGGGCGCACACCCGGCACGGCCACCGCAGCCGGCCCTGGCCTCGCGGGGGCGGACCGGGGCGGCTCCCGCCGACCCCGAGTCCAGGGAACCGGAGAGCCCGGCGCCCCCGTCGCTCCATCTCCAGGGCCCCGGCCCAGGCCACCCCGGGCTCCGGGCCCCGGCGGGGCTGACGGCCGGCGGCGCCGCGGGCGGGCAGGTCGCGGGCGGCCCCGGCGGCGCCTCAGCCCCCGCGCCGCGGGCGGAGTCCGGCCGGCCCGAGCCCCGGCCGCTCACCTCGGCTCCGGGAAAGGGCCCCTCGGCGGGCGCCCCGCGCGGCCACGCCGGCTGACAGGGGGCGCGTCGGGCGCCGCCCTGGTCCCCGAGCCAGGACGGCGGGCGGCGCCCTCGGCGGACCCGGCCGAGCCCGGCGCCCCGGAGCGCGGCGCGGAGGACGCGGGCAGCCGGAAGAGGCCCCTCAGCCCGCGGCGCCGACGCGCGCGCCCCGCGCCCTATTGGCCGGCGCAGCTGTCAGTCTTCGGGGCGGGGCGGGACGGGGCCGCTGGGACTCGCGCTTCCGCTTCCGGTGTCTCGGGCCGGGACTCCGGCCCCGGCCTCGGGGTCCTGGCGCCCGGGGGCGCCGCGGCCAGGCCGAGTCCCCGCGTCTCGCCCCCGGCGGGCGCGCCCCTCGTGCTGGCGGCGCCCCCCTTTCCGCCGCAACGCTTCCCGGAAGCCGCCCGCCGCCGGGGTCGGTCACGCCCAGGGCGGGGCCTGGCCCCCTTCCTGCCCCCAGCGGCTGGGCGGCCTCGGGCGAGCCCAGGGGGTCTCCGAGCCGCAGCGGCCTCGAGTTTGGGGGCGTCGAAGCCCGAGCGGCCTCCGCTTTCCCAGGCTGCCGCCCCGCGAATCTGCGATTATGGCCCTTGCTCCTAAGGCCTGTAACCCGCACCGGTGAATGTCCGTCGGGGAGAGTGGCGCGGCCAGTACTGGGGAGACCCCACCCCCAGCCCAGGGCCGAGCACCCGGCCCGGGAGACGCCTTGGAGGCGCAGCCTTGAAGCTCGAGCCGGCGCCGCCGGCCGCTGCTCTCCAAGGTGCTGCTCCCCAGTGCGCAGATCCGACCTGTCCTGCATATTCACTCCGGGGTGCGGTTCCGAAGACCAGGGGCTGGGGGCACGGGCAGTTATGCTGCCCTGTCCCCACCAGCCTCTCCATCTTTATCCCCCAGTGTGCATAATTGGCGTTTCCTCTGCTACGCAAACATCTTCGAGCTGCTCTCGTTACCCACCAGGTCAGCAGCCCTTGACCCCATCACCACACTTGTGGAGCTGCCGCCCCAGTAACTGAGGCTCAGACCACCAAGCCATGGAGAAGAGGGGCAGGAAGCCCCTTTTCTTCACCTCCATCCTGCAGGGTGAATACTCTTGATTTCCACTAGCGTTCACTCTAATGTGTGCTCTGGCTTTGCAGCTTCCAGGTCTACTTAGTGAAACCTACTTGCAAGTGGCTTCTCAAATGGGGAGGGGGAAGGAAGGGGTTTGTGCCCCGGAGCACAGCTGCAAGGTTCTCCTGTGGACTAAAGGATGGCTGCGGTGGTGGAGCAACAACTCCAGATTCCTTCAGCGCAGAGGAGCGCTTGCCACCTTGCCTATAGGATTCTAGAAGCCTCTCAGGAGAGTGGAGCAGCTTAACCTCTCAGCAGGCCTGGAAAACCCAGAGAGAAAAGCCTGGAGACCTCGAGGAGCTCTACCTGAAGGTACAAATGTTGCAGGTGAGCCTGGTGGGAGCATCCTGTGACATGGCCCCCAAGTTCTGAACAGCCCCAAGGCTGAATGTTGAGAATTCAAGTCCCCTTGTGGCAAACCCCAACACAGCCAACCAGAATTCTACTGGGTTCTCCTCTTGAATTAATGCAAAAACAGATCAAATATACTGGAATTAGACTTCGCTTACAAGTGTACTTTGCTGTACAAGTTGAAAGAACGGGGATGAAGGCAGAGAGAAAATGATTTTAATGTAGTTTCTCTTGTAAACAGTTTGGAGAGGTTTCTCTCTTGCTCAGCCTGCCTGGCTACTTTCCAGAAATGGAGGACCCTAACACACTGGCCGCTGCCGTGTCCTTTGAATACACGGCAACTCCAGAGAAAACTCCTGAGGCCACACGCCAACACCCAGACATCTGTTTTTCATCATCGCAGAAACACTGACATTGAAAGTGGGGAACTAAGGGGAGCGCTAGATGGCTCCCTCATTGAACTCTGGGCTCCAAGTTGCAGATTTCCAGACCCCACCCTGTATTATCTCGATGGTGGGTGGGGTTTTCCAGACTCCACCCCCTGAGAGGGGATGGGTGCGCACAGGAAGAGCGGGGCCTTTGGGCAGTTAGGCTGCTGGTGAGGGCTGTCTGTGGAGGAGCTGCCAGCTCGCCAGCGCAGCTTGGGCTGGAACCAATCTCTGCTCAGCTGACACAACTGGAGTGGCAGAAGGCACCAGGCAGTGTGCTCGCCTCTCTCTGCCTTCTCTCAGCGCTCCCTTGTCACAGTTTAAGTAGATCCTGTTATTGTTGTTCCTGGCTGTACCTACCTTTGGGTCACATCCTGCAGTCACGAGCATGTGGGCCATCCTCAGTGCCTGGGGCTTGTCCTGTTTCAGTCACACCTGGTTCAGGTGAATACTCAGCCTCTGCTCCCTACACACAGGACCCCTCCCCACTACAAGTGCCCCCTTAGCTGTCTCAGGAGTGGGGCCTGCTCGTAAACCTCTGTGGTCGTACACCAGTGTCCTTACACATAGCAGCGACCCCTCCTCCCAGATGCTGGTGTCAGCAGGCGGTGTCGGGGTCCACCCAGTCCCACACATGCAGAGAGGCATCACTTGCGGCTGATAACAAAGTCCTCGGTTTCTGGGGGTGCCAAGTGTGGGTGGTGACCAGCGGAGCAGTGTCCACCCCATGGCCGTCCAGGAAGATGTGACCTCTGTGAGTGAAGAGCGGTTCCACTTGGCTCCCTGTTCCACCCCAAGACGTGATGTTGTAGACCTGGACGGTCCCATCAAAACCTGAGGAAGAACCAGAGGGCAGAGTTGGAATCTCTATGGCATCAAAACAGGCGACAGGATGAGGCGCTCGTGGTGACAAGCTACTAAAAGGTCAGCAGATGCCCGTGACGTCTGTCCTGAGGGCACGTCATATCGAGTAGCTGCTGTGGGCGGGGCTGATGTCAACCCCAGACTGGCAAGACCCCTCGGACCCCCACGGCCACTGGTAGGAGCTAGTCACGTTCCCTGCCCCTCTCCCAATTCCAAGCTTCCACCTCTGGAGCCTCCAAGAGAGCCCTGTCTTTGACTTGGGGGGGAAATAGGAGCCTTTAGAGGTCACCTCAGCACCCCATAACCTACCCATGCCCACACCCACCCCTATGCTGTCTTCCTGTCACCAAAGAGCCCATCCCTCTAGACGAGCCCGGTTCTTCTCTTCTGCTCTTTCCAGGTCTTGCCACTGCCAACAAGCCAGTCATGTCTTCTCCACTGGCCTTTCAAACTCTTCCCTCCTCAGTGGTTCCTTCCTGCTATCTTTTTTATTTTCTCATTCGACTGGAAACTGCCAGGCTGGAGCCGGGCTGCCGACCCACTGGTGTCGTGATTCACGAAGCCAGGAGGCTGAGCATGCCTGAGGCCTCCCCCGTCCTCTGGCCCAGCTCCTGCTGCCCCATCTTGCTGTCTGCGGGCCTCTCCACCAGCCAGAGAACTGACCTCCCGTGGAACAGGCAGAGTCTGTTCTGCATGTGGGGGTTCAGGGACCAGGGCGAGAAGGACCCGCTGAGGACCCTGGAGAGCGCATCTGGAGCTGCTCTGGGGCAGCTTCGGGGGGCAGACAGACTATGGGGCTACCACCTCCCTCCTGTTAGTCTTGACAGACACGAAGTCCTGCTTAGCAGTACCTGAGATGGCCAAGCAGTTGTCCAGGCCTGGGGCCCAGGTCACTCGCAGCAGCTCAGGCTTGGGGCTGGGTGCGGGCACCGGGCACTGGACTGTGCTCACGGGGTGGGACAGATCCCGGGGGTCGTGGAGGCAGAGCTGCCCATGTGAGCCAAGGCTGGCAATGTGGGGCCCGGAGCCCTGGCCCCCAACCTCTGCACACCACCTCCCCCCACCAGGCCCCTCGCCAGAGCTGGGGTGGTGGCACTCTGAGGGCGCCCACTGCTGGCGAGTGTCAACTAGCCCCAGGCGGCCTGAGGCACAGCAGAAGGCGAAGGTGTCTGCATCCAGGACCTGCAGGCTGCTCAGCGCCTCGCTGTCACTGATACCTGAAGACACAGGGATGAGAACCACGTGGGGTCAGAAGGTCTGGCCCCTTGGCTGGGCTGGCTGGTCCCAGGTCCTGCCCCCAGGAAGCCGCCCACCCAGGGGGAAGAATGACCCGGTCGTCTGTACTTGCTGCCCCCACCCGAGCCTCAGGGAGCCCATGTGCCCAGTTTGGCACTGAGCATGGAACTCGGGTTCACATGTGGCCGAGCTATGCCAGAAGGGCCAGGCCAGGGGCAAGGCGGCCATACCTGACATGAACTTGGTCTTCTGGGACTCCAGGTCCACGATGCGCAGCCTGCCCAGCCTGGCCCCGTGGAGGACCGCGGGGGACGCCGCTGAGAAGATGGCCACCCTGGGCCAGAGGCCCTCCTCCTCCTCAGGCACAGCGATGGCGCCGACGTCTTTAATGACATCTGTGGGGGAGGGCGCGTTAAAGGAGGCCTGGCAGGCAGTGGTCACACGAGGCTGCGGCCGCGGGCAGGGGGCAGGGCAGGATGAGGAAAAACACGCCCCCGTGCCATGGGCACAGTCTGGAACAGTGAGCAGCACCCCGGTTTCCTTTTGAATTTGCCTGACAGCCTCTTCGCAAACGGGAGGCAACGGATCGCAGCAGGCCTCCGGCCTCCAAAAGCAGGTTCTGGCTTTTTATAGTTTTGTGGGGATTAAATAAAGGAAGAGAAAAGGAAAGGACACTCTGATGACGTCATTCACACCTTAAGTGACAAATCACAGGTACGGAGCTCCCGAACTGTTATTTCCTCCAGCACATGTTCCGTGACCTCAGCATTCTGCAGAGGCCTGCGGGTCGAGGCTGCGCTGCTGGAGGCAGTGCCTCAGAGGTGAGCTGAACGACAGGCCTTGTTGGGAGCCAGGGGCATGTGCTCTTGGGGCAACAGTCCCGAGCCCCCCGCCGAATGACCTGAGGTGGCAACAGCCGCTCGGTCACGAGGCATAGAAAGAGGATGTCTCCCCACTGTCACCTAGAACACTGAGGTCAGCACAGGCACCACTTTGCTGGGGCTACCTCTAGCTCACACTAGGGGGTGGGGGAAGGGGATGTACCAGGCTTTCCTATAACCCCACCCAACATGTCCACTCACCGCTGTCCTCGGCCACCTGCCACACCTGCACGTAAGGACCCGGAAGGCCACTGGTCACCAGCAACCTATTGAGAATGAGCAGGATGTCTCAGGCAAGACAGGGGAGCTCACTGTGCACCCCCCTCGCTGCTCACCATCTGCTCTCGGCCCACTCAGCATGGGACACCTACACACCCGTCTCAGGAAAGGTCCCTGCAGGAAGGATCACCGAGATAAGTCATCCCGTTTAACACATGGGGTGCACCCTGCTCTAGGGCAGGACCACAGCTCCCGACAGTCAGGGGCGGAGCTTCCACGTGGGTTCGTGCTTGCCTGGAAGACACCAGTGGAGGCTGCCCCAGACTCCCAGCCTGTGCTGCAGGGCTGGTAGCCCCAGTGTGTCCTCACGGGCACTCTGAGCAACTCTGTTCTTGTCCTGCAGCAACTCTGGCCACCTGCAAGGGACAGGAGCCCAGGGCCACAGGGGACAGAGACCGCCAAGCCACCAGCAAATCTTTCTGTCTCTAGATCTGTGTGAGTGTTGGGTATGTGCTGAGAGGGCAGAGGGAGGATCCCCTGAGACTTCCAGCCACTCTCTCTGAAAGGCAGGTCTGGGTCTCAGAGCCGACCGTACCTGGTGTCTGGGACGTGCCTCAGATCAAAGACAGACCTGTCTGAAAATCCTCCATGGCATACCTTGAAATCTCTTTCTGGAAATAAGCCCTAAAAGATAAAGCGGCAGCCAATCAGACAGAGTCCCCTCTTCAAAGGGGTGTTTCAGATGAGCGCAGGAGCCAGCTCCCGGCCTGCAGGAGCTATAGAAACCACTCAGCTGCAGCCGCTGCCGTCAGTACACGTCTCAGCGGCCGACACAGCAGTTTCCTTCTTTCTGGCATATCCCAAACCCCCTTCCGGGCCGTTCACCAGCCCTTCCCACTATGTCACAAGTGTCATATCCCAGGCCGTCTTAGAGTCGCCTTCTCTGGGACTCCTTCTTCAGAGAGTACTCCTTCCTAGTGTCCTGTGGGTTCATCTTCTACTCATTCCTTCAGTGTGTCTCCTGAGGATCGAGGTTCTGCCCTTGGCTATCTCCCCTTCTTCCTTATGCACTCTGTATCCACCCAGGCGATCTGAACCGCTCTAAAGGCTTTGACCATCCCATGCTCTAGTGGCTCCCTAAATCTACTTTAGACTGACCTCTCCCTCTAGCCCTTGTAAACACAGAGCATTCGGAGCACTTCCCTGTCTACATGCTTGCTTCCCCTTCTGGGCCAACCGCCTCCCCCCCAGGACAATCTCTAGGAGAGGCAGGAGCTGTGCATGCACTGAGGTGGTAAGAACAGACAAGCTCAGCATTTACATGTCAAGTTACCTGGTTTTCCTTCACAGAAAGTCTGAGAGGTAAGGTCAGGTGAAGAATCTCATTTTTTCTCAGGCTTTCATAGCCGGCAACAAAGACTCCTGGAAAAAGCAGCAGAATTAGCTGTGACAATTGCTAGAAAGATTCTGACCCATGGCTGGGTGTAGAAGTGACACCAACCCTCCAAAGCACAGATAAATTCCTCTGCCGCTGGCAGGGACCGCGGCCATGTGCTGAGGGCGTGAGAGACCCAGATCTTAAACGGGATCTTGGCGCGCAGCACAGGGAATTGCCACGAGGGACCAAGAGGCCAGCAGAGTGCTGGCCCGAGGAGCGCCGGTTTCCTCTGGCCGAGCTCCTGAGTTCCGGCCCGAGAGCGGGATTCCACGGCCCTCCGGGTCAGAGGGGGCACCGCACCTTTGTCACCGACCCATTCAAGGACTCGCGTGGCTCCCGAGAGGTCGAAGGCGTGGAAATCCCGGTACCTGCGGGCAAGCACGGGCGTCACCGGTGTCCGGCGAGCCCCCAGGCCTGCGCCCGGGCGCGAGCGGCCGGGCCGGTGAGGTCCTCCCCGAGCCCGGCCCGCCTCTGCTAAGCGCTGCTCGCGGGCGCCGGCCTCCCCGAGGGGCGGAGGGCCCCAGCTCCGAGCTGAGCCCGAGGCCGCCGCAAATAATTGCCGCCCAGGCCCCTGCGGGCCCGCGGGCGGGAGCCGCTTCCCGGCGGCTGCGGGTCGGGCCCCCGCGCCCGCCCGCCCGCCCGGCCCGCCCGGGCTCCCCCCGTGCCCGGGCCGCCAGCCCCGCCAGCCTCGCCCCGCGCCGGGCGCGCCACTCACAGGCGCAAGGACTCCACGAGCCAGTCCTCGGCGGGATCCATAGCAACGGCCGCTTCCGCCTCCCACTTCCGCCCCGAGCTTCCGGGGCCGGGGCGTGCTCTCGCGAGGAGTGAGCGCGGCCGCTGCCCGGGCGGGGCCTCACGCCGGGGCGGGGCCCAGGGCGGCGCCGGGAAGTGACGTCAAAGCGGGGCTGCCCGGGAGGCCCGCCCGGCGCGGCGAGCGCCCTGAGGCGGGGCCGGCGCCTGTTCCCGCGTGTCGGGGCGGCCGCGGCAGGTCGCCTCGCACGGGAGGGGTGCTCGCCGCCTCCGGCCGCCCCCGCGAGTCAGCGGGCCCCGGCCGGGGGCCCCTCAGAGCCCGGGGGCCGCGGGCGCCCCGGCAGAGGCAGAGGCGAGGGGCCCGCCGAAACGGAGCCGTCGGGTCGGGTCGGGTCGGGTCGGGGCCCTCCGGGGCCGGGACCAGCCGCCCTCCCTGGCCTCCCGGCCCGCCCGGCCCGCCCGCCGCCGCGCCGCAGGAGACCAGGCGGTCGCTGAGGGAACTGGGCTTTATTCACAGCTGCAGCCGGCGCGGCGGCTCCGGAGGGAGCGTCTTCCGGCCGCGTCCTGGGGAGGCCCCGGGCCAGCAGACGGCGCGGACTTGAGTCCGGGATTCACACCACTCGGCCCGCCCCGAGGCCCCGTCAGCACCTCCGGGGGGGCCGGTTCAGCGCCTCACCGCGCCTTCCCCGGCAGCGACGTCCCTTCCGCAGCGCCCGCGCCAGCTGCCTCTGCGCGGAGGGGACAGAGCGTTGGCCGCGGCAGAGGGAGCAGGTGCGGCTTCCCGCCCGCCCCGATGCCGGGCCTCCTGAGAGGCAGGCGGGGCAGGCTCGGAGCAGAGGCCGCGCCCCTCCTCGGCACTTTCTTCCCGGAGGGCCAGCGGGGATCAGAAGTGCAGCAGCCCAGCCTCCCCCTGTGCTCAGTCAGAGGAACACCAGGAGGCCAGGCGCCCGGATGGTGCTGGTGCTGTTGTCTGCTCCTCCCGCCCCCGCCCCAGCCCGGATCTCACCTCTGAAGCTCCCACCCCCACCCTAAGTACGGCTTCCTCTGGGATTCCTGTCGGGCCTGCTTATTTCCAGTCTTCAAGTCAGCAGCCCCCAGGTGACATTAAGTTACCTTCCTGCAGGCTGGACCAGCCCCCCCATCCCCCCCCCCCCCCGCTGACACCCGAGGCCGTGCTGGGAATCACGGGGGTCAAGGAAGCCGAATGAGGCTGGGGTTGGACCTTCCCCTTTCCTTCAAAGCACAAAGAGCTGGGCACAGAGGGGACACACACTGCAACGGTGCTGCCCAGGAACCCCAGGCTGCGAAGCGTCCACCTCGCCAAGAGCTCCCAGTGCCAGGCTAGTTGCTGAGCATGAGACGTGTCTCCTGTAATGCAAGCCGGTGCCCTTGCTCCCATTCCATGCACAAGGGCTATGGGCCAGAGAGGGCAGGTCACGTGTCTAAGGTCACACAGCTCCTGGGGGCTAGGTTGTGAGCCCAGGCTGCCTTCACCAGCACCTGCACTGGGGCCCTGGCACTGCCCTGGGTGCCCAGCCACATGCAACCAGGAGCAGGGCACCGAGAAGCTGCCTCTACCAGGCTGGTGACCAAGGCTCCTGCTCTGAGGTCCCGAAGCCCAGAGGTCAGTGGTTTGCATCCAGGTGTGATTTTAGGCTCTGTCCCTGACTCCCCCAAGGCCACCGGCTATGTCTTCTGGCTCTCACAGTTGTGGGGGGATGCTCAGGTGGATCGAGACCAGGGGTGCTGCTAAACTTCCTGCAGCGCAGCCCAGAACGGCCAGAGTGCCGAGGTCAGGAACCTGCCATGCGTCCCCGCGACAGGTGGGAGGGTGGGGGCACCGCTGGGCAAGGCCAGCAGGTCTCAGGCTTGGCTTCTAGCTGGCTTTTCTCTCCCTGGGTCTTGGGGTCCCAACTCTGAGCACAAGTGCATGAGGTTCGGCCAAGCCTGACCCTTGACCCTTGGGGCAGAGGTGAGGACAGCTGTGGGCCCTGGGATAAGAAGGTCCCAGTGCCACGGGGGGGGGGGGGGATGCTCAGAGGGCGTGACCACAAGCTGAGCAGCAGGGAGTCGCCTCCCTCTGAGCCCCGGGTCCCCGGGGACGCCCGGCACCTGGCTCTCTGGGGTCCACACCCATCATGCCCTGCCCTCAACGCTGGGTCCAGGGGCCGCAGGATGCGGGCTGGCTTACCTGGGGGTGAGGTGCTGGGCGGCCGGGCCCCCGCCCAGAGCCTGCTTTAGCAGGAGGATCCTGAGCAGATCATGACTCAGCTGCAGCTGCTGGCCCCTCAGGGAGCGGTGGGGAGCGGCCCCCAGCGGGACGGAGCTGGGAGGCTCCAGACTCTTCTTGCCCATGAAGTGACCTGGAAGGAGGTGGCAGGGCACAGGAGTCGGGGAGCAAGGATCCTACCCCCGTGGGAGGGTCCCCATCTGCCTGGGTGCGGGGAGAAAGAAACCTCTTTTCTCAACAAGGAGCCCGAGACCCCTGGGTGGCGGCAAAGCCTGACCCCTGGCCCCCGGGGGGCTGGCGCGGAGATGCACCGCCGGAGGGGGCGGGTGGCCAGGCTGGTCAGGGCAGGGAGGGAAGCAGAGAAGCAAGGGGGGGTGGGGGTGCGGAGGGGACATCCAGGAGGCCAGCGGCGGCTCGGGGGCCCCACGCGAAGGCGCCCCAGCCAGCGGCAGACGGAGGAGGGGGAGCCCCGGCTCTGCTTCAAGCTGCCGAGTGGCCTCAGTCTAGTCGCTCGCCCGTCCGGAGTTTCCCATCCACGAGATCAGGTGGGTCCCGGGGTCCCCCGCCCCCCCCAACGCGAGTGTGCGCCGCGGGGGGCGCGTGGAGCGGGCTGCGGGCCCCGCACGCCCGAAGACTCACCGGTGGCCCAGAGGCTGCCCCGCGGGTGCACTCGGATCCCGCCGGCTCGGCTGCGGGGCTCCGGGGGGTCCCGGCCGGGCGGGGCGCCGGCGGCCAGCAGGGCGAGGAGCAGGAGGCCGCCGAGCAGCGGGGCGCGCCCCGGCCCCCGGGCCATGCCTGCGCCGGGGTCCCGGCTCCCCGGCTCCCGCCCCGGCCGCGGCTGCGTCTCCCGGCCGCACCCCGCTTTTAAGCTCTCCCGCCGCGGCCGCCTCCCCTCCAAGCCCCCCCCCGGGGCGGGGCCTCCCGGGAGCCCGCCCGCCCCTGCCCCCCGCGCGCGCCCCGCCCGGCCCCGCCGAGGCCGCCCGCCGCTCCCCGCCTCCCGTCCAGGGGGCGCGCGGGGCCGGCCGCCTCCGGGCACCCCGCCGCTCGGCCCCAGCTCGGGGCGGTCTGGGGAGCTCGGGAGGGGTGCAGGGGGTCGCGCTAGGAAGCGCCCCGGGGCGCGTGGCCGGAGGGAGCCCGGCCCGAGGCCGTCTGGGGGTCGCGGGGCCGTGCGCGGCCGGCCTGGCCGCGCCCCTCCGCCGCCCTCGCCCTCGGGACCCGCCCCGCCCCCGCAGCGCGGACGGGAGGATGAGCTGGGGGGCTGCGGCCCACCCTGCGCGGGCCCCCGAGCCCCCGCCGCCCGCGGAGCTCGCTCTCGCCGCCTCCCCCCGCAGCCGCGCCCCGCACCCCGCGCCCGTCACCCCGGCGGGAGCCCGCGGCGCTGGCGTCGGCGGCGCCTGACCAGGTGCGAGCAGCTGCCCCGCCCCCCCCCCCCGCTCGTCCAGGCGGCCCCCCGCCCCCCCCCCCGCTCGTCCAGGCGGCCCCCCCCCCCCCCCGCTCGTCCAGGCGGCCCCGCCCCCCCCGGGCGGCCCCCGCCCCCAGGGCCGGGGCGCGCTGCCCGGGCCGTGGTCCTCGGGGCCTGGGCTCGCCGGCCGGGCCGGACGAGCCGCGGGGGCAGCGGCGGCCCCTCCCCGCGCCCCCGGCCGTCCCCGCGCGTCCCGGCCCGTCCCTCCGGAGAGCGCGGCCCCGCCGCCCGCCCTGCGCGACCCTCGCCCGGCCGGGCCGGGCCGGGCCCCCCGCGCCGCCCGCTCGCCCCGGGCCCGCCCGCCCGCGCTGCGCGCTGCCCTGTCCCCGGCCGGGCCGGGCCGCCACAGCAGAGGGGCCTGGGCTCCCCGACCGGCCGCGGCCCCCCCCCCCCGCCCGGCCGGGTCCCGGGTGCGCAGAGGCGGCTGAGGACCCGGCGGCCCGGCCCGGCCACCCGCCCGCGCCCGGGGGACCCCGCCCGGGCGGCCCTGGAGGGAGAAGTCGCGCTGCGGGCCCAGCCCGAGAAAAGGCGACACGGGAGTCCTTAAAAACCAGCCGTTTAATCTCATTCGTCTCCGGAAAAATACACGCTTGAAATGAAACCCCCGGCCCGGGCGGGTCCTCGCCCCGTCCGCGCCCCGCCCGAGCCCGCGGGGCGCCCCGTCCGGTCCGCGCTGCGGGGAGGGGATCGGACTCGCGGCGGGCGGGACAGACGCCGGGGCCGGGCCGGGCCAGGGGCTCCGCTCCCGCCGCCCAAGGCCGCTCCCCGGACCCGGGCGCGCGGGTTTGGGAAACTGAGTTACAAGCGTTGGGGGAGCCGAGCTCTGACGTCGTCGCCCCGGGCGGCCGCGGGCGGGGGGGGGGCTCTGGCTCCCGGAGAGGGGCCCGGCTCGGCCCGGACCCCGACAGAGGCTCTTCCCAGTGCGCGGCCGCCGAGAAGCTGGACGGGCCGCTCGTCCGCCCTGCGGAGAAGGTGCCGACCCGGGCCCGGCGGGCGCGGGGCCGGCGCGTCGTGTGGATTTGGTCACCGGCATTTCAAGGGCTCTTTGGTTCTGAAGGACTTTTAAAAATTCATAGAAAATACTGATCTTCTAACAAAATAAATAGAACATTTTAATCATTGATATTAATCAACGTCAAAAATTTTTTTCATCTTCTACTCAAAAGAGGAGTCGCTCCCAGCAGTGTCCCGCGCCCGCCGCGCCTCCGGGAGGCGGGAAGTGGCCAAAGCGCCCTGGCGGGGCCTCCCTGCGGCTGGCCAGAGCCTCTGCCCCGCTGACAGGAGGCGCACGCCGGCCGGGGCGCCGCTCACGTCTGCAGACCCGAGGCCGGTCCGGCAGGGAAAGGCCCGGGGACCGGCGAGGCCCAGCGACCGCGCGGGCCGGGGCGCGGCACTATTCGGGGGGCGGCCGGAGGCTCCGCAGCTTCATGTCATCCAGTCTCTTCCAGTACTTAAAGTTGTGGTCCAGGTGCCGCATCAGGTCGGGCAGGTCCACAAAGGCTGCAGAGAGAAGTGAGCCCTTCCGCGCCTGCTGCGGGCCAGGCGTCCGAGGAGAGGCTGGGGGGGGGAGCCCTGCCCAGTGGCACCAGCTGTCCAGCCTGCAAACGAGCGACTCGCTTCTCTGCTTGGGGACGGGGGTGAGCCCGTCCCGCCTGGCACCTGCCTCCTGCCATCTCCCACCTCCACATCCGGAGGGGGACCAGGCTGTTTACCCAGCAGAGAAGGGGTGCCACAGGCCTGAGCCCCAGAAGTGTGCGCCAGGGAGCCTGCAGGCTGCCTCCACCACCCAGCTGCTCAGCGGGCCTCCGAGCACCTGACACGCCCCCTTGCGGATCTGCAGCCCCCTAGACCGAGGCCCGACCCCCAGGGCAGCCCAGGTGGCCCAAGCAGGCACCGGCAGAGAACCCTGTCCCCAGGGAAGGCTACCTGGCGTGAGAGTGGAGGCCAGCCGACCCCCGGCCGTGAGGGAGGCCTGGGGAAGCCGGGGGAGGCAGACCACCCCAGGGCGGCCTGCGGGGGGCTGGTGGGAAGAGTACCAGGGCGCTGGCTCTTGGGCGCCTCAGGCCCCTCCGCAGCCCACCCCCGAGGCGCAGACTCTGCCCCGGCCAGCGCTTACCGTCCCAGGCATCGAACATGTCCGTGATGAAGTAGTCGATGAAGGAGATCTGGGACCGGGGGATGCTGCAGGTGCTGCGGTCGAAGACGGGCATCACCACGGGCAAGCCCCGCAGCTTCTCCTCGTCTGTCTGCAACGCAGAAGGGCCGGTGTTACCTGGCCAGCGCCGCCCCACGGCGCTTCCGGGGAGGAGCAGGGGCAAAGGCCGCCGGGGTACAGTGCTGGAGCCCAGCAGGCCCAACTGCCCCACTTCCGCCCCAGTGGGGTGTCGCTCTAGCGGGGAGGGGCTGCGGCGTGTCACGCACACTTGAGTCTGCAGCCTCGAGGCTATGAATGTCCCCGCGGCCAGGTAAAGGCCTAGTGCTGCTCGGTGGCCTCTGTCCGCTTGTGCCTTGATCTGGTGTGTCCGGCGACTGCGGCGTGTCGGAGTCTCCAGCGCCGCGCCGCCACCGCCTCTCGCGTCCACCTTCGCGCCGCTGCACCCTGCGGCCCTGCCGGGCGCTGGTCCGCAGCCCCACCCGCTCTGAGGCACCCGTCTGGTGATGCTCTCTGGCTCTCCCCACCGCGGTCAGGGTGGCCGCTCCCGTCTGCACTGGACCTGCCTGCTCTGACGCTCCCGTCACTTCCCGGGCGTCAGCCGCGCAGTGACTCGGGCGTTGCTGTCAGTCTCTGCCGTGTCCTGCGTTCTGGTTCCTTCTTTGTTCCTGTTCTTCCCGTGGCCTCTGCACACATCACAGCCCCGCCAGGTGTGCACTGCCAGGGCCTCCGGCGGCGCCACGCGCAGCCTCCTCTGCATCTCCGAGCGCGCTGACGTGTCCTGTCAGACTCGGGCCCCTGGGCTCGTGCATGCACCCCGAGGCCCGTCCTGCTAGGACAGCCGAGTCTCCGGGTGGGTGTGACGTGTTCGGGGAAATTAAGACGAAAAGAGATCATAGCTCGGGTCTGTCTGGTGCCACCCTGGGCTTGCGGGCGTCCGGACGTGGCCTGCGCTGCACGTGGCTGGTGGCATCCATCGGCCCTTCTTTGCTGGGTGTGGGTGTCGATGCCACGTGCTCTCAGGACGTCCCCAACGGGTGCGGGTTTCACCCCGCGGCCGCCCCTACAACACCTGCTGTCGGCGCCCGTCTTCCGGCCTCGCTGCTTCTGCTGGAGGTCAGGGACAAGGGTCCCGCCATCTAGCGAGGGCCGTGTCGCCCCTGTCCGGCTGCTCAGTCCTTCTGTCTGGGCTGGGGCGTTGCCTGGCTCGCGGGGTCAGGCCCAGCTGGCAGCGTCCACACGCCCTTCCCCGTGTCAGGAAGCTTAGCTACTGCGCAGCCTCCTGCGGGGCTGTCCCGTCATGGAACCATCACGGCTTCTAATTTTTTTGACCCAGAGAGACCAGCTGACGCCGGGGGGCAGCTGACACCACAGTAGCGGCGTGAGTCCCTGTGGGAGAAAACCGCCAGCCCGGGCCGCACCTCCAGGAAGAGGCTCTGCAGGAGGCCGCTGCCGCGGGTTCTCAGGCGAGGAAACTTGCAGAATGCCCGACCAGCGAGCTCCCCGACCCAGAGGCGGACCGGGCCGGCGGCCTCACCTGTGCGAAGTACTCCTCGGAGATGCGGGCGGCCCACTCGACGCACTGCTCCAGGGGCCGGCAGGGGTTGGCCACGTCGGCGCACTTGATCAGCATGCGCCTGACCAGTGCCCGGTTCTCGGGCGTCCTGAGCATGGCGGTCACGGCTTCCTGCCCCTCGCGCGTGTCCTGCAGCGCGAGCAGAGTCAGAGTCATCGGGATGGTCCCTCGGGCTGAGCCCGGTCTTGCCAGCACGAGCCGCTGCTGGGATCTCCCAGTTCAGGGTCTCACCCCACAGCGGAGGACCCTCCAGCTCTGAGCCCTTCAAAAGGGCCAAGGGGCTCGCGAGATGCCAATAGGGGGCGCTCACCCCCTCCCAGCGCTGCACCCCTGGGTCCGTCTCCCCTGGCAGCCACATGGGACTCAGAGGGACCTGCGGACACTTGAGCCAGACCAGTTCTCCTGTGCCCCCAGGAGAGTCTCAGCCCGGGCGTGGGCCCTCCAAGAGGGGAGCTGGGGTGCAGGGCGCTGTCGGGGACGGGACAAGCAAGGCTGCGGGCCCTGGGTCTGGCCCCGCCTGGGTGGGTGGTGGCTCCCGGGGCCTGGCTACCTGCTCTCCTGGGGAAGGCCAGGGTGCCGCCCCAAGGCTGCTCTGGAGGCTTCCTGCGCTGTGTCCACTGCCAGCCAGCTCAGCGCCAACTGCCACCCTCCCCCCGCAGCACCATGACTGGCCTTGGGTGGCACTGGGCATTCATGTCCAGGCGCAGAAATAACCTCAAGTGTGGGCAACGTGAGAAAGCTGACCACCGAGTGCAGCTGAGCCGGGAACTGCCCACCCAGACAGGAGGCCAAGCCTGTGAGGAGCGTGGCCTCCTCCTGGGGCGTGGGGTCCGCTGAGCAGCAGTCTGTGTGAAAGACCAGCTGATCTGCTGGGGGCAGGGGCTGCTGGAGCCTCTGCTGACGGTGCTGGGAGGAGGCTGCAAGGAGGCGACGTAGCAGAACAGGGCCACGTGGAGAGCGAGGTGACAGGATGGGGCAGACACGCGTCCCCCAGTGCTACACCCTCCTCAGCCAACAGGCCCCGTGTGGCAGTGCGCCCGAGGCCAGCTTCCCCCAGCCTGGGGTGGGCTCAGCACTGCCCCTCAGCTGTGGCCTCTGGCCCTCTTGCCTGAGGAGTGGTGCCCTGAAGGCCTCACCTCCAGAAATGTGGGCCACTGCGGGTCCTCCTGGCCCCACCCTCTGTGACACGGCCCCAGAGGCTTGGGGGTAGCCCAGCGCCCCAGGGGGGGTCCCCGCTCCTCGGCCCCTCCACCTCACCCCGTCCTTCTCCAGCGCCGCCAAGGGCTTGTTGATGCTGTTGACGAACTTGCTGACGTGCTCGAAGTGCCTGGTCATCTCCGTGGCCAGCACCATGTCGATGATGCCCTGGCGCAGCGCCCGGTACTCGTTCCTGCCGGGCAGGGAGTGAACAGAGGGGCTGACCTGACAGCCGGGCGGGCCCTGCAGCGAGCGGCCCGGCCAGCGCAAGGGCACGGGGAGCCGCTAGCCGGGCCGTCGCGGGGCCTGCTCTGGGGCCGGAAAAGCCGCGCCCAGCGCAGGGCAGAACCCGAGGCCATTGGGTGCCAGAGGGGCTGCCGCCACCTCCACCTGTTTCCGGGGACATGAGGCCTTTCATGAGGAATTCAAAAGGTGCAGCGCGTGCAGGGGTCGGCCCCTGCCCCCGGCCGCCCCGCTCCTCCCGGGACACAAGCGGAGGTCGGTCTCGCGTGTGTTTTCTGAGACGGGGGATGTGCCCACAGGCCAGCGTGAGTGAAACGCCACTGAAACGGTCTCATGTGGCCAGGGGTGGGGGCGTCTGTGAAATCGGGACTCTCCTCCTAGAGCCCCTCAGAGCCCCTGGGTGCGGGCGGATGCTGCTCTGGCCTGCGGCTCAGCGTCGAGAAACGGAGCTGGGCCTTCGGTGCGGTGCCGTGGGGACGGTCACCTGAGCCCGGGCCCCTTTTGTGCCAGACCCTGGAGAGGCCGATGGTGGCTGCCCAGGGCCGGGGGGTGGCCTGGGAGCGGCTGGAAGCCAGTGGGGACGAAACCTGACCGCGGTGGTCTCAGCTGCAGCCGTGACCAGCCCGAAGGCCGGCGGCCGCGCCCTCGCCCCCCGAGCCCTCACCGCTCCATGTTCTTGAAGATGTTGCACTGGTCGTCGCCCATGGTCAGCCGGAAGGCCAGGGCCGCGTGGTGGCTCTCCAGCACGGCGGTGTCGTTGTAGAGCACGGCCAGCGGGCTGCCCGCGTTGCACAGGAAGGAGTTGGTCCTGCCGGGGTGGTCCACGTCGTGGATGGTGGCGGCGATGAGGGCGGCGGCCTCGTCGACGGGGTCTAAAGTTTGCTGAAAATAAAGTCTTCTCAAGAACTGGGCGCAGCCTTGGAGGCGAAGAGGCCTCTGCTGTCTCCGCCCTGCCTGCAACTCCAGGGTGAGGGACAAGGTGCGCCTCAGCACCCCGAGGGTGCAATCCTCAGCCTCAGACACCTCACAGGCTCCCAGACTGCAGGGTGTCCTCAACAGACGGCCACCGCCACACCTGCCTCTCCTGAGCTCACAAAAGGCCCCAGCGTCGAGGGTGAGGCCAGCGGGAGCCATAGCAGCGCGCGCCACACTCCTGCCCTCGCTCCTGCTGTCCTGCCACCTTTTCAAGCGTCTGAACAGGCTCGTGTGTGTGAGCTGCATCCTTGGAGGGTGGGGTGCCCACCTCATGAGGGTGAGGAGCCTGGGGGTGCTGGTACGCGTGCAGAATGCCCGGCAGCCGTCGCCTTCTCGTCCCCAGACACAGCCAGTGGCTGGCAGAGCCAAGCACCCCCTGGCACAGGGGGGCCAGTCTGGCTGCCTCAACAATTTCCCTAACAAGATGATTTACATGAGCTTTCGCAAAGCCCGGCCCGGAGTGGCCAGCTCTCCCCAGGGCCTGTACCCTCCCCCTGCCTTGGGGAGGAGCTGCAGGTGGAAGAGGGGCCACCTGACTCTGGAGCCCCAGGAAGCCCTGAGGGATCGGTGCCCCTGCTGCCACCGCCTGGCTGGGACAGGCCCTGGGCTACAAAGGGAGCTCAGGGCCTCCTGGGGTGCAGGGCACAGGGTGCGCTCTGCAGGGCCAGCTGTCGCGCCTGGCGGGGGCAGCCTGCAGCTGCACAGCACGTCGGCAGGAGCTGCAGACGCTCCAATGCTGAGCTCTGGTTCAAGTGGCCAGACGAGGCCTGGCCTGGGGCCGGCGCGTTCCTAGGAAGCAGAGGGGTCAAGCTCTCATTGTGCACCGGCTGGGTGAGGAAGGAGGGGCCGGAGGGGATGGCAGCAACAGTGGGCGGGTGTATCTGGGGTTCAGAGTGAGAGCCCCAGAACTGCCCCATGTGGCTGCCTCCTCCGGCCAGGGCGGCCTTCCCGCAGGCGGCAGGCGCTGCAGGTCCCCGGTCCCGCCTGCAGGCCAGGTGCACACTCGGCTCACCTTTATCCTCTCTTTGCAGAGAAAGTAGGCAGTGGCGTGCAGCACGTCGGCAGAATGGGTGGAGTTGTGGTAGGGGTTGGAGGAATGGTAGTTTGTTTCGATAATTTGTAACCACGACCTCAGCGTGGCCTCCGAGCAGTTCAGGAATTCGCAGACTCTGAACCGGGCAAATGTTTTGAGGCCAAGATAAACCAAAGGCCTGCAGAGAAAACAACCCACAGTGTTAAAAGAAAGCAAAGGTGGCAGCCACGCGCAGCGGCCCGGGGCGGGTGCAGAGCCAGGCAGGGCAGCCGGGCAGGCGCTGCCTCTGAGCTGCTGCCCTGTGGCCACACCAAGCTAGGCCTGAGCAGGTTCCAGCCCCAGCCTCTCAGCTCTGGTGGGGCTGCCCCCTCCCCTCCGGATCAGGTGGCCCTGGGAACAAGGGGTCCTCAAGTCCATGTGCTCCCAGCTACTCTTGCCCCTGGCCTCGCTGGCCGGATGGCCCCAACGACAGGTGAGCCAGACATGTCACGTGCTGCCGTCTGGAGGGGGGACAGTGCAAGGAGCTCCCCCGAGAGCGGCCAAGTCAGGCCTGTGACAGGACGTGCTGTGTGGACATGAGTGTGCAGACGCCCGAGCGCCACGGGGGGATTCCTCCTCCGTCCTCGCGGGGGCTGGGCACGGGGCAGCAGGGCTGGCCACCCGAGGGCCGTCTGCTCTGACCGGGCTGAGACCCGAGGAGACCCCCACGCCCAGCGGCGCGCGCTCCTGCCGCTGCCATCCGCTCGCCCTCCCAGCCAGCCCCGCACAATCATGGCCCAGGACGGCTGGACTTGGGGCACCCGCACGGCCACCCCCAGTGCCCAGGCCAGGCCAATCACTGCCTTCCAGCACAGGGCACCTCCCGGCGTCACTGCCTCCGTGGAGCGAGACTGCCCAGCTGTCCCTGGCTCCTCGCCAGGCCCAGCTGCTGCCCCCCCACCTTTTATGGGTGACGGTCTCCAGCTCAAAAATATTGAAGTCCCAGCACCCCTCGTTTTCCATGGCCCGAGCGATGGGTGGCGGGATGTCGTCGTGCGGGGAGAGCGGGGCGAGGACGGCGCCAGCGAGGTGCTGCAGGCCCGCGAGGCGGGCGTCTGGGGAGAGGAACAGGCTGCCTTGGGAACAGGCCGGAGTGGGGCTTTTACGACGCGGAGAAACTTAGGAGAGAAACTATGTGAAAACTTGTACTTGAAACCTGTTCGTCAGCTGCGCTTGACTAGAACGCGAGCTGCTGACGTCAACAGACACAGCGGAGACTTACTCTTCGTTGAGAGGAAGTGCTCGTTCCCCGACAGTCTTCGTAACCCATCCTGACCGAAACCAAGGAAACAAGAGGAAAGTTACGGCTCCTTACGGGGCCCCAGAGGCAGCGAGGGGCCCTGGGGGCAGGTCGGGGTGCGCAGCAGGGACAACCCCCGCAGCCCACTTCCACCCTTTTCTTGCCTTCCTCACCCTGGGGGACGCCCCAAGCTTCCTCTAGAAAACGAGGTTCTTCTGGCCTGAGCCGCCCGCCCCAGGTGGCTTGGGGGAGAGCTGCTCCCGGACCAGCCTCGGCCGCAGCCGCTGCCCCAGGGGCCTCCCCCCACCGCCTGGCATGTCTGTCACGGCCCAGAGGAAGCAGGGGTGGCGAGGGGATGTGAATTCTGTTTCAGAGCAGAACAAAAGGTGCGAAGGCCGAGGTGCCCCCTGCTGTTCCTCAGCGCCCGGCATGAGGCTGTGGGTGCCTGCTGGAGACCAGCCCTGCCCGGGGCCTCTCTGACCAGTCAGGGCCGAAGGACAGTCTGCTTGGTGATTTGGCTTGGAACGTCTCAGGTTTTTCTCCCCCAATTTTCAACATTTTCTAAACTAGAGTTGATTTAAATAACCTGCAGGTGGGGCTGGCTCAGGGGGGTGGGGCCGCGTCCTCGGGTGCTCTGAGAGGTCCCGGGGCAACACGCGGGCCGCTGAGCTGAGAGGGGCTGTGCCTGCGGCGGGCCAGACACTCACCGACACGAGGCCCCCCACGAGGTCACTGGCGTGAGGGTCGTCCTCCTTGGCCCCGAACTGCGGGGAGTACAGCTCGGTGGTCCTCAGGATCTCCAGCACCCGGTCCAGCGCCTCTGTCACGGGCATGGGGCTGCTCTCCTGGGCCGCGCTGATGATGTTGATCACCTGAGCGGGGGCGGGCCAAGCATCAGCGGGGGGGGGGGGGGGGTCCCGGAGACGACCAGGCCGCACACCTGGGAGCGCCTCTGGGCGGCCAGAGGCCCTGCGCACTCACCTTGGTGATGGGCGCCTCGATGGTCATGGAGTGGATGCGGGCAATGGACGAGTGGCGTCGCGGGGTGCCGGCTGTGGAGAGGGGGCGAGGGGTCAGGCTGTGGCCGGGAGGCGCTCAGGACCCCCCAATTCGAGCTGGGTGGGCAGCGCCCAAGCCGCCTTCTTCAGTTCTAGGCACTGGAAACAGCCCTCAGGTGGGACTCCACGGCGTGTGGAGAGCAACAGGACGCGTCCGGCCCCGAGCTCAGACAGCGCTGCCTCCGCGCCTTCACGGTGAGGCTGTTGGGACACGACTGGCCGCCACTGCGCAGGGAAGGCTCCGGGATACCAGGTGGCTGTGGCCTGGGCGGCAGGAGCCATGACAGGACGCACCCTGGCCCAGACACGGGGTTCCTGTCCAGCATGGGCGGCCCCCAGGGGTGGGGACGGTGAGGTGCACGCCAGGAGGCGGCAGCGCCTCGGCCAACAGCGGTACCCGCCTGCGTGCGTGGAGACTCAGTTCCTTGGGGCCCGGGGTCTGGGTAGCGGCGGCAGCACAAAAGCCTCCACACCAGGCTCTGCCTGTCTCATGCCAGGCCAGTGCTGTTTACCAGCGAGGGAGGGGACCACAGCCGGGCTCCAGCCACTCCCATTTGCCGACCTCAGGCCTGGGCGCACCTCCACGCAGGGTGCTCGGGGTGTGCGACAGCCCTAAGCAGATGGGTGCAGACGCCTGGGAACTGGGGGTGGGGTTCGGCCTTGATCAGAGGGCACAGCAGGGCCGTAGGCTCCACCCCAGCTGCGCAGGAGGGTTGCAGGGTCGGTCGGCTGATCCAGGCGGGAGGGCGGGCGCGCTTTCTGCAAGCAGGCGGGGTGCGGCCACAGGGCTACCCAACTGTCCAAACGCACTGACCTGAACACTCAGCACCTGGGTCTGACTACACGGGGCAACCAAGGACAAGACATGAAAAGGTGTTAAACTCCTAAACGTGCAGACGTGGATGAAGGCACCCACGGGAACAGGAGTGACAGCGCGTGACGGCACGTGGTCAGGCGCCCACACCCTGCTCGGCGGACAGCAGCGCGGGTGGGGGGTGTCGTGGCGTCACGTGGCACCAGAAGGCGCAGAGGAGATGGGCTGTGCCCCTTCTGGGGGCAGGGCCCGACGTCCCGCAAGCGGGGGGCGTGTGAGGGCAGCACGGGGTCTCCCTGTGTGACCTGAGCTGCCACTGGCAGGGCCCCTGTCCCCCCCAACATGCAGCCAGCACCACCTCTCCAGAGGTGCCCTCACATTTTCAAACATTCCAGCTCCCTCCCAGAGGCGGCCCGGCAGCTCGGCCACGCGGTAGCGTGGGAGGTCCCTGGGCGATGCGTCCGTTCTCCCCTCCCGACTCCCTCCCGGGGCTCAGAACGGAGCCGGGGCAGGGTGAGCGCCACTGGGCCCCGGAGGACGCCCGTTCTGGTCCCGGTCACCTGCCTTCGCTTGCTCGAGAGCCAACGGCCTTGACGTCCAGCGAGCTCTTCCTCCTGTCCTTGTGCTTGCCGGGCGTGTGCTCTGCAGGGAAGGAGGCCGCCGTCACCGCTCACGCACCGGGCTGCCGGCGCAGCGTATTTTGGAAGCCAGAGTTGAAGAGCTGGAACAGCCTTTCGGAGGCCACGGACCAGGGCATGAGGCGCTCTCCCCGCACGCCGCCTGGGCGCCTGGGACGCGCTCCCGGCGAGCACCCCCAGAAGAGAGCGGCGCCCCCATCACCTCCCCGGGGATGAGCGAACAGCGAGAACTGGCCAGCAGCCCCTCGCCAGAGGAAAAGACCCGGTGCCCGGATGGGGTGGGGCTGCCCCGGAAAGGCGGACCCGACGGCTCGACCCCTTCTCTGGGCTCCTCGCAGGGCCCTCTGACCCCCACCCCTGCCGGGCCTGCTTTCCTGTCCCTCACACCCGGAGGGTGTGCGCCCGGAGCCCCTCCACTGCCCCAGTTCACAGACGAGGAAACTGGGGCGCCCCAGGCCCAGGGAGCACGGCCTCACGGGACCCTCTGCCTCGTCTTGGCTTCCCCACCCGGGGTGCCTGCTCACAAGCGGGATCCCCGCGCGGGCCTTCCGTCCCCTCCCCAGGGGCCCCGACAGACCCCCTGGCTGCCCCCAGGGACTCGGCTGCATCCTCACCTGTCTGACTGGCCCTGCTGCTGGGCCAGCGACGGCCCCGCCCGGCTGCTGTCCTCCCGCTGGTCCCCCCCGGCTCCTCCTCCTCCCGCCTTTTCCCAGGCCCTCGGGCCTGCCTGGCTTCTCAGAGCAGCCTCTGGAGGCCTCAGCCGCCGCCTGTGCTGCCACCCGGCCCCCGCGCTCCTGCGCAGCGGAGCAGACCCCTCGTCCTGGGCGCCCCCGGGCCACGGCGCCAACTCACCGTCTCCTCCGGGGCAAGAACGGCGCGGACACCTCGCTGGGGCCCAGGCACGCCAGTCCCCGGGGCGGGCAGTGTCACAACACCCCCCCCCCCGCCACCCTCTCCCAAAGGCAGCGCGGGGGCCCCCCGCTCAGCGGAAACCCCATCATGAGCCCTGCTGCTTCCAGGGGGCCTTGGCCCGCGGGCGTGCGCTGTTCAGGCTGGGCCCCGTGCGAGAGACAGCCACCTCCACAGCCCCCCAGTCAGGGGTGCCCCCTCCCCCGCAGGCACCACGGGCCCAGCTCAGGAGCTGGAGGCCGAGTTGTTGGCCTGCAAGGGCACCCCAAACCCACCCTGGCAGGGAGGCCCTGAGAGCAGCTCCCCTTCTGATGGCACCGGCTCCCGCCTGCCACTGTGAGGCCCACGCCTGGCGGCGCCCATCTCGGGGGAGCCCCATCTGCCCCCTTCCGGGAGACCCAGAACGAGCTTCTGGCCTGGGCAGCCCCCACCCCCATGCACGATGGGTGCTCCCCCAGCCCGTGAGGTCTGGCCCCTGCACACTGGGATGCCCATCCTCTGGGGGCCTCCGGAGGGGCCAGCTGGTCTCTCCCGGTGGGCCAGGTCCTGCTGCAGGAGGAGGCGGTGTGGCTGGGGGAGGCGGCGGGTGTGCAGGGCGGGGAGACTGCGGGTCTCTCATCTTCTGGCCCTGGGCCCTTCCGGCTGGGATGCGCTGGGGGCAGGGATGGTTCTCCACACCGGGAGGGCGGAAGGGAGGGGAAGCTGGGGTCTACTCCCCACCAGACGGCAGGCCCCTCAGGAGCCTCAGCCTCTGAGGCCCAGGCCGGGCACCTGCGATGTCCCGTTTCCCTCACTCTGCTCACGGGCTCAATGAGGCCCGGCAGCGTCTCTGGCCTGCTGGGTAAGTCCAAGGCCCTGTACGACATGGGGCACAGAGCCTCGGCACCACGCCCTCTCGGGCTGGCAGGACAGGGGCTCAGGCAGTTGTTCTGAGAGCCCGGCAGGGGGCTGAAGCCTCTCCCACAGGCTCCAGGGGCCAAGCCCGGGGACACGCCTCGTGTCACCGCAGGCCTGGGTCACTGCTGGCCCCAGGTGCAGATCGGCAGCTCTGGTGCTGCCTCTGCCGCCCTCTCCTGAGAAAGCCGCTTCCCCACCTGCAGCCCATTGGACCCCACCGGCCTGGACCGACCCCCCCTGGGGAGGCCTCCCCTCAGCCCTCCCCTGCGTTCAGGGGCAGGACCCCACCCCAACATGTCTCTGTGTTGGGTCCATCCTGCCTTGCCGCCTCTCCTCAGGAGAGCTGGCCAGCCCGGGGCTTTGGCTGGCCCCACAGGATGCTCCGGGCAAGTTGCGTGTGTCCAGGTGGCGTCGCCCTCTTCCCAGGGCCACGTCAGGAATCCTGGTGGGGCCCCAAGCACTGCTGCTCAGCCTGCCCCTCGGCGCCGGCCCTGTCCTCCACACCTTGCAGGGACTCCCGACATGGCCCCTCGCGTGCATCGGTTCGAAAACCACCAGGGCCACCTCTGCCTGAGGGGAGCCCTGCACTGGCCGGCCCGGCGCCAGGACCTCGTGGGGCTGCTCCTCCCAGAGCGCCTGCCTGAGCCCCGCGCCTGCACACCAGTGCTACCACCATCTCGGGGCATCCTCAGGCCAGCCCGGGCACCAGGCAGTCAGCACGGCCCATGACCCTCCCCCGTGGACAGTGCATGATGCCCTCGCCCGCGTGCTGAGGCCCCGCCCCGGCCAGGCCACTCCAGGCCGCAGGACAGACAGTTGTCCCCATGGCTGTGCGGCGACTTCAGGGACATGGTTCCAGCAGAAGCACCAGGTCGGGGGGCGGGTGCACACTGGGACGTGGCCCCCCCAGCCGCGAGACGCCACACCCTTCCCACGACTCCCAGGGCGCGGAAGCCAGACGTGGTCTGCCCAACGGGAAGAGGCGCCGGTCCGCCCACACGCCCTCCCACCTGGGGCAGGACAGCACTGAGGCAGCCCTCCCTGGCAGCACCTGCCTCCTGCGCCCACCCCAGGCGGAGGAGAGCGCCCCTTGGCCCTGCTCCCCTCCCCGGCCCTCTTTCAGTTCTCTCATCTGACCTACAAGGACCAGTGGCCCTTGTCCCCCAGTAGAGCCAGTGTTGTCTGGCTGAGGCCGGCTGAAGAGCGCCCCTGCTCTCGGAGGCCGGACGCGAGCCGAGCCCGGCCCTGGCGGGAGCTGGCGCTGCTGCTGCGGTGGCAGGGAGAGCAGTGGCCAGCGGCACTATGGGCCGGGGCAGGCCGGGCGGCCCAAGGGGGTCGGGGCGGAAGGGCCGGCACGCCCTGGGCTGGTGGCCTCGCTGGCCCCTGCTCCGTGACTGCGTGCCAGACTGGCCCGCAGCCTCGAGGTCCGCTCCCGGCTCCCTGACTCCGGGCCGCCAGGGTCCCAAGCCCCGGTGCTCGCTCATGCTAAGGCACTGACAGCCAGTCCCCTCACGAGGCTGTTCCGAAACCAGAGAGTAAAAGCCATGTCAAGCGAAGGCTGTTGCCTCACCCCCACCCCCCCAGCCTGCCTCCGCTCCTTCCCGTGTCTCGTCCTGGGAAACCCCAACACCTCAGTCCCCTCCCCGTCCCGGCTCCGCTCACCCTTCCGCCGCGGAACACTAACGCTCGCGGGCCAGCAAGGCTTCCGCACGGACGCAGCCCCGCACAGTGCAGAGGAGCAGGGCTCTGGCCCAGCGGGTACTTGCTGCCAACTTCTCCAATGAACAGAGGTGCACGCCCCTCCCCCACCCCCGCCCCAGGCCCCAGCGCTCCGGGGCATCTTCCTGGCCCTGTCACCGCAGAGCTTGCCTCCAGGCTTTCCTCTCAGGCCCGGGCCGAGTCACCGTTGCCTTCCGCCCCCTTCCCGCCCTCCCACCTGCTCTGCCTGGCTCGTGGCCTCCGCTCCAGACGGTGGCGATGGTGGTGCTCATGCCTCGGCCCCCCTTCCACGCTGTCCGTGCCACACACATGCCCTACAAGCTGCCACGGCTCCCACATCCTCAGCCTCTGCCCACAGGTGGAGACCCTGGTCACCTACTGAGCACCTAAATGTCCCTGGACCCCACGTTCTCTTCCACACCAACGCTGGGTACCGCCAATGTCTCACCCTTGGTTTCTGAACACACTGTACCCGGCCCCCGGGGCACTTTTCATTTCTGGGGTGCTCTTCCCACACACACCCATGCTCCCCCTCAGCTGTCCTTCTCCTGGGGCCAGCAGCCTTCCTCACGCACAGCGGTCACCCGCTGTGTTCCTGGCATGGGTGTGTGCTCAAGGAGGGGTGCCTCAGCCCCCGTAGGAGGCCCATATGACTGTCCTGGCATCGCTCATGAGCTGGGCCCAGCCATTCTGGGTCCAAGGGCCCTCTGCCACTTCCCAGGGGCCCCTGGGGCACAGACCCAGCCCCGGTTTCTCGCGGGGTGAGCCTGCCAAAGGACTCGAGTGCGGCTCCGATGCTCTGCCTCTTAAAGCTCCCGCTAGGCCACCAAGCCACGGCTCCAGCGTCTCCCTATATGTCCAGGTGAGTGGGGAGACCCCTACAGTGGGGCCTGCCCGGCACCTGTCACCACGTCCAGGCAGGGGGGCGGGGGCAGCCAGGCGTCCCACATGGTCCCGCCTGCAGCGTCTGACTTGCCTTTGCAAAAGCTCAAGAACCCCGAGGGTGCACGTGGGGCGTCATACCTGTGTGACTGTCAGACTGAACACATTCAGTTATTTTCTCAGCCTAAAAATGAATTTTAAGAGCCATTAGTTCTGATTGCCTCTCACGCCTGGGGGAGTCTGGGTGCAGGCCAGGGCTCCCCGACTTACCTTAGTGCTGCCGTTGCACATTCTGATAATGGACACATAGTGTCTAATTTTTCTGCAAGTAGAGAACAGTGCGTTATTTCTCCCCTGGCCCCTCGCCTCCGGGGTGCAGCTAACCTTTCTCTCAAGGCCCACGGGGCTGGGAAGGCCACGTCCACCAAGGCCTCGAGTAAACAGGGGTGCACAGCACCCCCAGGTCCCTGCAGATGAGAAGTTGACTCTTTAGAGCATCAAAGTCCTTCTGTGTCCTGACAACATACGAAACCTCCTGCTTACACGCGCGCTGCATGTCAGCCGCCCGGGCCGTCAGTGGGGGATGCGCGTGTCTCCACGACGCTTCTCAGCTGCCCTGCACGTCCCGAGCACCCGCTGCTCAGCCGTTGGGAACCACCACGCCAGCCTTGCGGGCCGGACGCCGGGGCCAGGGCTTGCCCTCCAGAGCCGTGGACCTGCCCCGAGTTCCCACGTTTGTCTGGCGCCCCCTCGATAATCAACCCCTGCACGTTCATCGCAAAATATTCTGAAGGTAGAAGGGCTGAGACCTGGGACGAGAGCCCACAGACTGTCGCGGAGGCGAGTGCCTGCAGGCTCTGCAGGGCCCACGGCGGCCGGACGCTGAGCCGGAACCTCCATGGGCTTGGCCTCAGTGTCCTCATCTGTCAAACGGAGGCCGCACCGAGCTGGCATCACAGGGCAGTGCATACGTGACGTGACATGGACCGGGCACCGTGGGGGCTCCTCAGACAGCGTGCCACTGTCACCACTGCTCGCCGGGCACCTACCCCGAGCAGCCTCCTGTGCCCCATCTCTGTGGGCACCACTGCGAGCTGCTGCCTGTCTCAGTGCTCTAGAATTCAGCTCCCGCAGCTGACGGCGCATGGTCCCACATGCTGGGTGCCTCAGGTGCTGCTTTCCCGCCTGCGGTCACACCCGTTTCCCCCACAAACATTGGTGTGTGTAGGACTTCTATCTAATTCGACAGCCCCACACAGAAAAAAACGCAGCGACTATCAAATTAGATGGAAATCTGGTAACCAGAGCAGCCCCCGCCAGAGTTCTTCGCACACAGCTTAGAAAAGTGACATTCTGGCTTAAATACTCGTGTGTGTCCACACAGCCCCTTCTGCAAGGCTGTCCGGGTCTGGGGGCCCTGGGTCACCAGAGCGGGGTCGGGCCGCAGCGCGTGGAGGCCACCGAGCAGGCCGTTCCACGCGGGCACCGACCTGGCTGCGACGCCAGGCTCTGGGCCCGCTGTCCCAGGCCCCTGGAGCCTGGCTTCCGCAGGCCCTGAGATCGGCCAGGCGGGGCGCGCCGGCTCCAGTGCTGGCCACTCACCCTCCCTGTCCGACGACAGGTATTATCTTCACATTCTGCTTTACATTATCCCCGTTCTTCCTCTTGGCATAGTGAATGCCCTGCCATTCCTGTGGGAGGGACAAAGCGGCCTTTACTCTCTGTTCAAGCACAGCCCCAGGAACATCCTTCAGCTCAGGTCCGATCCACTTCTAGAGCTGGCAGGGCAGGAGACTCCCCCACCCCAAGCACAGGTTTGGGTCACCTGACAATTCCTTCTCAACCTCCAAACCCCACCTCCCCCGGGGCTGCTGGCGAGCGGCTGCCACAGCCTGGCGGTCACGTGTTCTCCCGCTGGCTATCACGCGACTGACTTTCTTGGCCTCCTGGGCAAAACCGGACAAGGGTAAGAGGACCTACGACCTGACGACCTGCCCTGCGCCTGCCGCAGCGGGCAAGACTGCCAGCAGATAGGACAGGCTGGCCCTGCACAGGAGGGGCAGCGGCGGCAGCGGTCACGGGCCACACCTCCTTCCCGCCCCTTGGTGCCAGACCGGGAGCAGGGCACCCACCCACCTTGCCTATCCTGATGTAGGAGTTTATGGTGTTGAGCAAGTCGGCCTTCTTTTCATTTATCGGCACCTCTGCCAACTTCTTCCCTATTAGTTCACCCGACTGACAGCCCATTGTGGTTTCAAACGCAGGGTTTGCATACTGGGAGGAGACAAGATTGAAAATCAGTGAATCAAAAAGCAGCGGACTTCCAGCACCTGCACCATCCCACTCCCCAGAGCTCAGGGCCTGGGCCCCGTGGGGTCTGGCACCCAGAGGCTCCGGGGCACAGCTGCCCACTCCAGCTGGAGACACAGGGGTGGGGGGGCGGGGGCTGCCCGGGGACTGGCGAGGCCACGACAGTCTGAGTGAGCACCTCACACGGGCCGCAGCACCCACACCGACGCCCGGCCTGCTGCTACCTCGTGGGAGGGACCGCCCCCACAGCCAGGGAGAAAGTGCCAGCCCCCACGCCTTGTGGTGACCTTTCTGAATAAAAGTCTGGCCTCGCTAAACAAAGAGAAAGCGAGAAACAGCAAGCGCAAACTGGTATTTCTGCAGTGTCTTCTGGCACCTCGTGTGGCTGCCAGTGTCTCTCCTTACCCACTTCAAATCGCACCCTTTATAGACACGACCTTCTGACCCCAAGGAGACCTGGGCGCTTGATCTTCAGGAGAAGCAAAACCGCCCTGCAGGGCTCAGCCCCATGTGAGACCAGCGAGAGACCCAGGTGGGCTCCCCAGTCACTGACCTGTATCACGTTGTCTTCACTGGTAATGTCAATCGCCTCCTGGCTTTTGTCTAATGCGGTAAATATCGAGTTACAGGCCCTTGACGGGAGGAAGAAAAGGGAAAAGGGAACAATTAATGTAAACGCACAGACTCTGATAAAGCCTTGGGGGTCACGGTATCTTCAAGCCTCTGGTCTGTAAAGGTCATGGGTGTGAATGAAGAGAAGGGTGGGTAGGGCAGAGGTTAAAAAAGTGTAAAGAAGAAACTTGGGGGTCAGGATGAAGGCGATTTGGGGTCTCTCCTTCCAATCTTAGGACCAGGGGGCAGTTCAGCGCTGCCCCTGCCAGTGGCAGCCCTGGAGCATGGCACAAGCCTCACCAGGAGCCCACACGGGTCTGGGGGACGGGGAAGGAAGCGTGAGACATCCCTGCTCTGCCTCAAACAAATGTCACAGCATAGGGCCAGTGGGTTGGCTGGCTCCCTTCCGTCCTGTCACTTCATTTACGGTGTGAACATTTCCTCACGGCCTTTGTGTTTGAAAACACAATTTAACTGCACAAATGGCAAAGGCTTATTAAAAAAAATAGAACATATAGATAAAAGTAAATGAGATAGGGGCCTCCCCGGTGGCGCAGCAGGTTGAATGCAGCGCTGTGAAGCTGTCCGCAGCCTCTGCAGCACCGGGTTGATTCCCGGTTGGCCAGGGAGATACCCACATGGTGAGGCAGACCTCTCCTGACTCGCCCGCTGCTCCCCTCAGCAGTGCACTTGGGTCCTTCTGCCTGTTCTGCTCCCTGCTTGTCTCTGGTGAATTCTCTCACCCTCCTGCGCCGCTGGCCCCTACCCCAGTGCTTGTATAAATAAATAAATCTTTTATTTTTACCCCTTCGAGCTGCTGAGCCCCAGGCTCGGCCCGGCCTGCTCCTCTGACAGGCACAAAACACTTGCCCCTCTGGGGTGATGAAGAGAAAGCATGCTCTGAACTATGTCAATGACAGTCGCCCGTCATCACTTTTAATCGCCATGTAATATTGTAAATGCCCCACGACTAGACGTACTGGGAGTTTCTGGTTTTCTTCTAGTTTTCTATTTTTTTTTCAGGTGAGTTAGAGAAGCAGCTTTATTGTTGGTGAACATACGCTCAGGAGGGAGCATGGGCAGGTTTGGAGGAAAATTGAACTGTGCAAGGAACCTTCTAGAGAATGGAGTGGAGAGTCACTCCTCAGAAGAGAAAAAAGGAAACGAAAAAAAAAAAAATCAACTTGCTGCTTATTCATACAATGCAGAGAGAATCTAAAGAAAACTAGGAACTGCTTTCCCACATTTAAGTGTTTAGCTCGCCGGAGTTTATTCTGGGTAGGGTGTGAGACTGGCATAGAACTGAATTTTCTTTCCAAATAATTAACAGCTGCCACAACTCTACTCACTGGATAATCCGCCCCTTTCTGTGTTAACTGAAATCACCAAGTGGATCATATGCTAACTTCTCGGGGTGGGGAGCAAAGGGGGCCCAACGGGCTGTGGAGGGCTTGGGTGGTGAGGGGGAGACATCTCTGAAGAGGTGAGGGCTTGGACCCCTGAGCCAGATAAGTGCGGTAAACCAGCGCCACTCAGTCAGGAAACACGACAAACAAACAAGCTCTTAGCACACCCAGGGCTGTGGCCAGCTCGCCCCACGCCGGAGTCACACTGAAAACACAGCTGCTTGTTAAACATGGCCTTGCACTGCATTTTAGTACCACATCCAGCAGAACTAGTCTCTGTTTCTCCCCTTCCTATTCCCACCTCCCTCCCAGTCTCTGCTGCTCTCAGAACATGCAGGCAGGTGAGGGCAGGGAGGGAGCAGAGGGTGGACTGCGGATTCTTCCCTGAAGGCAGGGGGGAGTCAGCGCAGAACAGAAACACCAGGGCGCTGTGTGGAGAGGTGGGGCAGGGACAGGAGCCAGGGCTTGACTGGCCAGAGCAGCTGACACAGACTCTGTGGCATGGCCCACGGAACCCCAGGAAGCACAATCAACAGGCCCCGGCTTAGGGAGGCATGAGGGGCCTCGGGCTATGGCCGTGGGGCGGGTGATGGCTCAGCTCAAGTACTGAGAAGACTGTGTGACTTGGACTGAGGGGTGCAGGAGATGTGACTGCAGTTGTGGAGATGGGGGTGGCGCCCTAAAGGCCTGCCTTGCTTGTGCTGCTGTGAGAGCTGGAATGGCAGTCTCCGCACCTGGCTGGGTGACGTGAGCTCTGTGACACCTCCTGCTCCAAGCTGCGTCCTCTAGAGGACCCCTGAGTGCAGAGGGGGAGCTGTCTGCCTCCACCCCCTCGCAAAGTCCGGCAACACAAGGGGCCTCACTGGCAGGAGCTGCTTGGAGCGCTGCCCACTGCCCTGTTGGCCTCGGGGGAGGATGCGCCCCTTCCCTGCACGCAGGTCCTGACACTCCACCTCCTGACTCCCTTGGATGCCTTCAGCTTGGCAAAGGGAATGACTCCACCCCACAAACCTGGTAAAGGACATGGTGTGGACACCCACAGAAAAAGCCCCAAGGACGGGGAGCTACTGGCTTTTCCTTCTGTCAACCTTGAATGATTTTACCAATTTTTCGGTATTTCTTAATCTACAAGGAACTAGGTCTGTACTCATCAGACTTCAAAAAACTCCCCGAAGACCCTGTTCATCAAGAGCAAATCGTAAAATGCTTATTGTTGGTAAAACACGTCACTCGCCAGAGGACACCAAGGTCAGCAGCTCGAGTCTGTGTCATTAAGTCTTTTCTTAAAAGACAAAGCACGTCACTCAGCAGATAGGGCCTTCTGCTCGGCTGTTCCACTCGCTGCCACGGGGAGCCCGGGGCAGCCTGGGCAGGGAGCAGGTGTCAGCAGGAGGCCGGGGCCCAGCAGCCCCCTCCCTCCCCGCGGGGCCCGGACTGGGGGGATTACCTGAGTTTCAGCTGAGACCGCACCTCCCCGAGCTCCAGCTGGCGCAGCTCGTTGTAACAGGCCATGAGGCTGGGGCTCTCCACATAGCGCTGCAGGCAGAAAACCCTCCGTGTTATGTCCGCGGATAAAAACCATCTCTTCCTCAGGCTTCGCAATTGGGCAACTGGAGTCTGGCAAGCACTTTCTGTCTAGGGGCCCAGCCGGACAAGCGCCGCTCAGCCTCCCACGCGTCCTCGCCGCCCTGACTCACGGGCTCGCGGGCAGCCGCTGACCACAGCTGTGGGAGCAGGGCCAGGAGCGGAGGGACCTTATCCCCAGGACCCCTGAACCCACGGCACCCTACAGTCTGACTCCCAAGGATGCGCCCCTGAAGGAGGTGTGAGCACATCTGCTGCTGGGGGTCCCCACGGGTTCCGGAGTGAAGCCCTATGGTAACAGCCTTTCCGTCAAATGCCTTCAAACCTTTCGCTGGCCCTGAGCTAGCAAAATCATCTCTCACGCTGAGTGACACGCTTGCGTCACAGAGAAGTGGCCACATACCCGTGTAAAGCCGGCAGCCAGGAGGGGCAGCACGCAGGCCTCTTCTCGATCGGTCCTTCAAGACAACAGAGTAAGTGCCTGGACATGCAGCCCACGCCCACCCCCTCCCCGCTGCCAGTCGCTCCCCCCACACTACCCTGGCCTGGGAGCACTTTCAGCTGAATTTAATAAACGCACAAGCCAGAGGCCAGGCCAGCCTCGGTTCCGTTTCCATCTAGCCCTCAGGCAACGTCCAGAGCGGTGCTGGCCACCCGGAGGTCACTCCGGTAGTGTCACGGGAGGGACCGAGGATCTATTCAAACCAAATTTAATTCCTTCCTATTTCCTTTTGTTTTTAATTCATATTAAAAAAAAAAAAAACCCTCTCCCCCAAAGCTGGGGAGAACATCCAGAGGACACAGAGACATCATCCGGAAGGACACAAGCCAGGACCAGCTGTCCCCGCTCAGGCAGGTGGGCCGCTTCCGGGGCCTGGCCACACCCCTTTTCTAGGGCAGCCTCCTGCTCTGCCTGTCCCAAAGCGAAAGGCTGTCCGGGACCACAAGGTGCCACAGAGGGAGACCCCAGCCACGAGCTAACCGCTGCCGGGGAGGGGGGGTGCCGGGGGGCGCCCTGGGCTCAGCCACGGAAGCAGCAGCTCACCTGCGTACCACGCCGACGATGACGGTGTTTTCTGAGAACTTCGACGACCTGATGGACCTGGACAAAAAAAGTTTCTAAATAAATTCAAGGCAATTCTTGAAAAAGAAATATGCGTAAACAACTGTGCCAGAGCAAGGGAATCGGGAGGGGCAGGAGAGCAGAGCTCCTTCTCCACTGGGGTCACCCCTTGCCTCGGGGCTTCTCTGTCTAGTTCCTCTGCTGTCTTCAGTCCTGACTCTTCCTCGGGCCGAGGCAGGGGCCCAGCTCCAGACAGCAGCACAGAGCGCGCCGCGGCCCTGCCGGGAGCCTGCCTGCCGCTGCCGCGTTTCAGCTGCCAGAATCACCAAGCAAGGGAGCCGCGTGCTAGGGGGCGCATGCCTGGCCACAGGCTGGCAACCGTCTCCTGGAGAGAGCAGAAATGGGCACTGGGGACACACAACTTCCGTGTCAAGACATACCAGGGACCAGGGGTGCCGGTGATGACACCTCACCCCAGCCGCAAGGGCACGCCGAGGGGCTCGCGCCAGCACAGGCAGACGCGGACTCCGCTGCACGACGGCTGCTCCCGCACCTCCCCATTGCCAGTTTTGTTTTTTGTTAAAGATTTATGTATTTATGCATACAAGAACTGGGGTACAGGCCAGGAGTGTCAGGGGGCAAGAACATTCACCAGAGGCAGGGTGGGGAGCAGGACAGGAGGACTGACTGAAACACACCGAGGGGAGCAGCGGGGAGACAGGAGCGTCTGCTGCGCCATGCGGGTAGCTCCCTGGCCGGGGATCAAACTCCTGCTGCAGAGGCTGCGGACAGCTTCATAGGTTGTGTCCTAACCCCTTGCGCCACAGGGAGGCCCCCCATTGCCAGTTTTTGCCGCCATATGGCACCAGCGCCAGGAGGGAGGGCGGGACGGTGGAGAAGGGCTGCGGGGCGAGGCCAGCCCGCCACCCAGCGGAAGGCAGCGGCGCCAGCCCAGTCGTCTTCTGCCCCGCCCCCCCACAGGGTCCCCAGGGAAGGGGAGGCTCCAGGCTCCCGGCCCCACCCAAGGGAGGGTGGAGCTGAGCAGGGAGGAGGGGAAGCTGGCGAGAAGAGGAAGAGGAAGTGGGCAGGAAGGAGGGAAGACGTGGAGCCAGAGACCCGGAGGAGGCGCCTGTGAGGGAGCTGCCTGGCTTCTCGCTCCCGAGGGGCGGAAACATGTGGGTGAGACCACGGGCAGGAGACAGTGGCAGCTTTTATCTTCATTTTGATTTTGCTCTTCTCCTTCCAGACGTGTCTGGCTGCTTCTGCTCTTCCCGTGGGTCCTCACCAGGAGGAGCCTTAGAAGGTGGCCTGCTTTGGGCCACCCCTGTTGGGCTGAGCATTGACCCATGAGGGGACGGGAGACTTCAGGTGCTTGATTTAGAAACTACAGTCCTTCCCTTCTCTTCTCTCTGTCACCCACTGGTTATATATTTTTTTTTTTAGAGCATGCTTTATTTATTTATTTATTTTATTTGTTCGTTTGTTTTGTTTATACATGCACTGGGTACAGTCAGAAGATCGGGAGGGTGAGAGAATTCACCAGAGCCAGAGCGGGGAGCAGAGCAGGCAGAAGGACCGAGGTACACTGCTGAGGGGAGCAGCGGGCGGCAGGAGAGGTCTGCGCGCCATGCGGGACCCTCCTCCGGTGGCCGGGGAGCAGCCGGGGATCGAACCAGTGCTGCAGAGGCTGAGTGCAGCTTCGTAACCAGCGCTCAACCGCTGCGCCACCGGGGAGGCCCACTGGTTATATTAAAGTGCCTTTCCATCGAAGGTCTACGCACTGATAAATGTTTGGTCTTGATGTTGTGGATGGCAGAACCTATTTAGAACGGGAAGGTTTGGGGGTTCTGGGGTGCCCCTCTCCCTGCCCTGTAACAGCCTGAGCGATCACCATCAAATGTCAGATACACTTAGAAGTGACCTTGGAAGCCAGAGTTCCAACTGACCCCTCCCGGGAGAAGGCAAAGGCACCCCAAAGCCAGCAGCCCATGGGCACCCCAGGTGCCGGGCCTCCCTCCCTGGCTGCTTGCCCTGAGCAGGGCTGCAGGGGCCATGGCTCGGCCCACAACAGAGCAGAGGAGAAGGGCGTGAGGGGCAGCTCTGTGGGGCAGAAGGTTCCCCGGACAGCCACCCAGTCTGACTGCCCGGGGTGGACTCACCAGGCACCTCCAGATAGCCTTTCACTGTGATGTCATTTTCTTGTCAGTTTTTTTAAAGATTTTATATTTATTTATTTATGGACACGAAAGCTGGGGTACAGGTCAGAGGTATGGGGTGAGAGGATTCCCCAGAGTGGGGAGCAGAACAGGCGGAGCTATTGAAATACATTGCGAGGGGAACAGCGGGGAGACAGGAGAGGTCTGCTGCGCCCTGTGGGTCAGCCACCTAGCTGGGGACAGAACTCGAGCCGTCAGGCCGCAGTGGCCGGGATAGCTTGATAGCACTGAGGCTTTAACCCCTGCGCCACCAGGGAGGCCCCTCTTGTCAGTTTTTAACCCTTGTTGTATTTGGTTTAGATTTTTCTTATCTCCTAAAAGTCAAGATTATGAATGTCCTTAAAATTAATGCAATGTAAAATTTTACATTATGTTAAAATATTATGTCTTCCCTGATATAAAGTTTTCTATTCAAGTGTACATTTGACTTTGCCTTGTTTCCATCCACAGCAAATTACTTTCCCTAAAAATCACTTTTCTTACCTTTACATCTGGTACTCAGAGCCTCTCACGCTATTGATATTCTACAAGTGTTATAAAAAAAGGCACATTCACCTAACAAAAGACTATTTTCAAATCTTTTATCACTTGGAAAACTGTAATAACCCTCGCTGCAGTAAGCAGGTAGCAGCTGCGGTTAAGAACAGACTGGGGGCCTCCCCGGTGGCGCAGCGGTTGAGCGCTGGGCTGTGAGGCTGCCCACAGCCTCTGCAGCGACGGTTCGATCCCCGGTCACCGGCGAGGGTCCCGCATGGCGCGCAGACCTCTCCTGCCGCCCGCTGCTCCCCTCAGCAGTGTGCTTTAAAGGTCAGTCTGCCTGCTGTGCTCCCCACTCTGGCTCTGGGGAATTCTCTCGCCCTCCTGCGCTTCTGACTGTACCCAGAATAATCTAAAATAAATAAATAATAAATAAATAAATCTTAAAAAAAAAAAAAAAAGAACAGACTGGGCCTCCTCTTAACCCTGAGTGTTCTCGTGCATATTTCTTGCTGTTTCAAGAAGAGCCAGATGAAAGCGGCGAGACCGTCCCCTGGAATGAAGGCCGCCGTCCGGCTTATCTGACATCCACGGAAGACAAATGAAATAGACCGAAGTCTAAGGGGCCTCTCCCGGGGGGCTGCACTCACTCACCTGCACAGCGCCTCCGCGTCCAGCTGCCGGGGGTTCCTGTGGTCTATGATGACGATGTCGTGGTGTCTGTCCCGGAAACAGGCCAGGGCAGCCTGCGCCTCCTTGGCCACCGTGCACGTAAACCCTGCCTTTTCACACGCCCTCCAGAACCCGTTACACTGGCTGTCTTCCTTGGTAAACACTAAAAGTACCTGAATCAAAAAAGAGCCAACACTTACAAAAGTCATAACGGTTATTTCTTAGCTACAGAAAACTGCTAAGTGCTTTCAAGGCCAGAACACAGACGTGAATGTGACATCACTGACCCCCGCCCCACCCCCCGACATCTGCTCCCTGGAGTCAGAGCCACTGCTGTCTGCTCTGGGTCCAAGTCCAGGCAAGGACGCGTCTATCTTTTGCTAACAAACCCACTGGTAAAAGCCAAGAGAGGCTTGATTAAGCATGTTGTCCTGAAACTAAATTAATAGCGCGCACACAGACTCATTTTAGTCAACGACAAAAGTTAGCAAGTCCTCAGACTGTAAACACTAGTATTTCTGTCAACCCACTAAAATACTTAACTCTCTATAAATAATGTGCTTACATTTTTGACTCCAGGTTTCACGTCATTCCTTCGCGTTAAAAGGCAAAGACTGGCGAGGAGAGAAGGCCCAAAGTAGAGCGAACGTCACCCGTCCAGGCCTGCGGGCGTGACAGGCGCGGCAGGGGTGACCGGAGCGGGCGGGGCCTGCTCTGTGGCCTCTCACTGTTCAGCTGGGCCCTGGGAGCGCTGGGCACCTCCCCTGCACATGCAGACTCAGGGGCCACCTGGGAAGCCGAGCAGGACAGCCCGGAAGAGACAGACCACAATGCTGGCAGCCCGGGCCATAGCTCGGGGCCTGCAACTGGCACGCGCCGCAAGGCCAGACGCAGGGACAGACACAGGGAGCGTGCTCCTGCTGGCGCTGCCACACTTTGCGGAGGTGATCCTGAGCGTGTCTGTGTGCAAGAGGCTACAGACAGCTGTGCAGCTGACTTAATGGGTCTTGTCCAATGCTTTGGATTAGGCAGCTGGCAGGTAACTGCTCCTGAAGAGCTGAACTGGCGGCCTAGAGGAGACTTGGGCATTTTTCAGCTTGGAAAACGTCAAACCTACAGCAATGTGGTGACTGGCCACGCCGCGTGCATGCCCTTCTGCCAGGCTCGCCCGCCCATGTGAACGCCGGCTCCACACCCTCAACGCCACATGCTTCCCCTCACTGCATGGAAAGGCCGCAGCCCTCGCTCTGCTCAACACCCCGCGGTGTGCCTCTAAGAATGCACACGCCCTCCTACAACCACGGCGCTGCCACCGTGTGCAGGAAACAACACGGATCCAGCACGGTCATCTACACACAAGACTTTTTAATGTCTAGCTTCAGACGCATCTTTCAAGATAATCAGGTACCTGGAGTTGATCTGGGTGAAATCTCATGGGGCCAAACTGCACATCAGTTACTGCTTCCTGGAAAGAAAAAGAAAAAAGATTTGCTCAAATATAAAGATAAGCTTGCTCAAAACTCTCGAATCAGCGCCACAGAAGGAGGTGAGCGTCCTGCTCGGAGAGGAGTTCCGTAAAGGCCCTCCCTAACACAGGACCCCGGGGCTCCGCAAGTCCAGGCGGGCGGGAGCGGAGGAAAGAGTGTCACCAGCCCCCACCCCCCTGCGTGAGAGATTCTGGGGGCTCCCTCAAGCCCACATTCCGATTCGCCACACAGATCAACGAGACGACAACATCGAGGGCTCCAGGGACCAGACGCTGAGGGGCAGGGTTCCTTCCACACCTCTGCCCGCCGAGCCCCGGGACGGCGCCACCTTACGTCAACAGCTGCGCGAGTGATGGAACCAGCAGCCGGACCGGGCGCTGAGGGAGAACGGACACGCCGGTTTACACGGGGCAGGCGCTTATCAGGAAGCCTGTCTACGTGAGCCCGCCAGGCTGGGGGCACAAAGACTGACATTCCCAAGCCCCGGCGGCGACAACAGCCCAGGGCTCAGCAGAGGGGGGCCACATCACAGGCTCACGGCCTTGCGGGGTGCCCGGCGGGACCACAGGCCGCAGCCCAGGGGCAGCGCTAGGATTCTGGCCTGCTTCGTGCTGTCCCCTTCACGCTTGTCCCCAGCCACAAGCTGGACGGGCGGGGCGGCGCCCCAGACACAGTCGCTTGCGATTGTCCCCGAGATGCGAGGGCACGGACCCCCCGCCACGCTCCGAGGCGTGAGCAGGCCAGTGCCTGACGGGGAGCCCCCCAGGAACCGTGGCCAGAGGGGGCCCTATGAGGGGAGCCCTGTGGCTTCCACAAAAGGGACGTGCTCAGCTTCTGCCTCCCTGGGGGAGACATGGTCTCTCAGGAGGCACAGAAACAAGGGGGTGAGGGGAGACGTGGGCAGCAGGCGTCCGGGGAGAGGGGACGGCCACGAACTCGCTCCGCGGGGACAGCAGGGCTCGGAGACGGGCCCGCCCCACCCACCGGCTTTGTTGTATTTTCTCAGCGAAGGTTAGAGCAGTGAGGAGCAAAGGCAAGGAAGGAGGCAGGCCGCCGCCCGGAGGCGCTCAGGGCGCCGGGAGCAGGGAAGCAGCCCTCTGCGGCGCGCCGGAGGGGGAGGCAGAGACCCGGCCGAGGACGTGGGCCAAGCACGAGGGGCCCGGCGGGGGCTGGAGCCTCGCAGGAGCCCGTGAAAGGTGCTTGGCGGGTTCACATAGGGAATAACACGCCTGAAAGGGGGGAAAGAGAATGTGCGTGAACGCTGTAAAGACGAGAGATGCCGGCAGGCCACGGGGAAAGCCTTAAGCCACTTCCGAAGGTAAAGGTCTCCCCTGCCCAGCCACAAGGCAGCCAAACCAGGAATTTAAAAGGCAAGTTAAACAAAACGATAGCCCCTCCCCAGGAAATTTAAAAATATGACCCAATGCTGAAGCAGAAAGGGAAATGTAAACTATTTCTACAGATTACCTGGAAAAATAACACAAGAGCGGACGCCACGCCATGAAGCGTAAGGAGGCCGCGGTACTGTATTCGGAGGCAAAACTCAGTCTCACAGTGTTCGTCAGGAGCAGAGATACCGAACTCTGAAATCACTCAGTTTCGTAAAGTCAACAGCACAAACTTAAGGAAACTCGGAGGAAAGTAAAGTTAAAAGCAATAATCATAAACATTTAATGAAGTGGGGTGGCAATTAGTGTGTCCAAAAACAGACAGACAGACAGACAGACTTCGTTCGTTCTGGCCACTGCCTGAGGGGCAGGATGCAAGCGTGGGCTGGCTCCAGGGGAAGCCTCATCCCTCCTGGAAAAACAGATCTGAGCTCCTGATACACGGTTCAGTTTCCCAAGCGAAGGGCAGCAACTCCCAGATGAAGGAAAGCCTGCCGTTAGGATCTCACCCTACGGAAATAGTCGCCATTGCATCTGTTATAAGAAATAAAAAGCTACACATGAACTTTGAAAAGGCTGAGCTCTGCTGCAGTATCATCTTAGCAAAACCCTGCAAAGCACGGCGTTGCAGCCATCCGGCGCCACCGCTGGGCCCAGCTTTATCTACTTAACTGGCCTGCGTCCTAACACTGCATCCTGCCTGCGGGGCACGTCCGGCTCTCAGGACCTCCGTCCACATAGTCGTGTCCCAGAGGAGCCGGACAACCAGCACCGCCCCCTCCCCACCCCCCCAAACCACCACCAGGAAATCTGATGACATGACTCAGCTGCGATGTAGCAGCGGGCGCGGGAGCAGCAAACAGCCCCGGCTGGGGTGTGGGCAGAGCTGCCATCCCTCCCTGCGGGGGCACCTCGGCCGGGCTGGGACACAGTCCTCTGAACGGCATGTGGCTCCCGCTCCCAGTCAGGAGGGACCCGCATTTCCAGACCAGTTACAACAGCACAGCTTTGACGGGATCCTTAGCTGCCAAGGCAGCAGCCACTTTTAGGTGGCAACAACGTGCCCACGGGCAGGCTTCCCGGGGGACACGTACTGCAGGATTTTAAAATACTTAGGTATCTATTAGCATTTGTTCAAGAGAAAAAGATACAAGGATGATGCCTGAATTTTAATATTTCCGAGTAATTTTCTGTAAATATGGCTGAGAGGCGCGGGAGGTGGTCACTAGGAAAGTGACGGACCGCGTCAGATTTCTTTCGTTTGCTTAGCTGACCTAACGTGACCTGGAGGGCAAGGGTCGGGGAGACGCAGGATTCCAACCTGTCTAAACCAGCCCCGCGCCTGCCTGCTGGCTGGTGACCCAACACCACGAGTGTGCCAGGCCCTGCCTTGCCGCCGTGGCTGCCACGAGAAGGCATGTTTTATGAAGCAGGCATGCCTCTGCCTTGCTCCCTGCTGCATCCCAACACCCAGAACCACGCCGGGCACGCGGCAGGCGTTCAAACCATATTCTGAACCACTGTTTGTGCAATACCTAAGCCTCTTGAACCAAATTCACCCAGAAGTCACACTCATAGCAGCTCTGCGGACGCACGGGGGCAGAACGCAGCTCTCCCGGGGCCAGAGCACGGCCTCTTCGCCTGATTTCATTGAGAAACGAAGGACCGAGGCACCGTGTGCATCGTATGAAACGCCTGAGCACTCGAGGTGCCACAGAGCATTCGGTGATCTCCCCACCCTCACAGACGCCGCCAGGGTGACACCGTCACGTGCAAGCCCAGGAACTGCGGCCCGGGCAGAACCAGGCTGGGTCCGCAGCCACGAGGCCCTCCCGGGCATCCCTGGGCAGCTGGTTCTCTGGCAAGGGGTGAAAACCTGAGGCAAGGACGCAGCCAGGACCAGGGTCAAGAGGCACGGGGGACCCCCTACAGCCCGTTACAAGCCAGGCACAGAGGCAGGTAGGGGTGGCTCAAGAACAAGGCCCCTCACCCAGCCCTGGGGCAGAAGGGACAAGGACGCAGGGCAGGGTGACGGGGCGCAGCTTTAGCAGCGAGAGGAGGCGGCTGCGGCGAGCCAGGCACTTAGCCGCGCCTTCATCCTCCGTTCTGGGGTCCAGGCAGCCGCCGGCTCCATCTCGCGGCCGGGGCCTGACGGCAGAACTCTGCGGCGCAACCGCCGTGAGAGGCAAAGCTGGGGAGGGACCCGGTTCCGTGTGAATTTAAACCCTTGCTTCCCAGGGAGAGACCTGAAACCACCCGGCTCCGACCTAAGCCGGCCGGGAGACAGGAAGCGGTGCCCGCAGGGAGGGAGAGCTGCCGCGCCAGGACGAGACGCTCAGGTGTTCTGTCTCAGGAAAAGCCACCAGAGCGTCTTATACCAGGAAGTCACAGAAACAGTAAAATCAAAATAGATTTTACTTTTTTCAAGACCCCTTGAGCTGCTGGCAGGAAAGGGCTGCAGGAGATAAACGCGGGTCAGGGGGTGTCCATGACGGCGGGGCTGTCTGGCCTGGCTGGTGGGGGGAGGTGGGACCCACCCGTCCCTGGACCCGACTGGCAGGTGTACCCCAGCCACACGCCAATCTGGGGTTCCACAAGGCCTTCCCGAAGAAGCTGCCCTGGGCTGCTGGTGCTCCCCAGACCCGCCCACCAGATGGCAGCAGCACACACCCCAGCAAAGCTCCCCTCTTCGAAGGTCTGCTCCCCACCTCAAATCTCTGCCGGAACCCAATGTCCCAGTCTCTCCTTTCTCCCCTCACCTGCTCCCGATTTCGCCATCGCTCAGTTCAAACAGCAAACATTTACACGCTACCCCAACGGAAGATCAAAATTTGAGTCCCGTGCCAGGGAGAGACGACTCAGGTCCTTTCCGTCTCAGACCCACAGTGTCAGGCAGAAAACGGCTTCCGGACTGGATGAGCGAATCAAAGGGCTTGACGCCGCGTCTCACACAGAATGCAGAGGACCCCTCCAAGGAAGGCTGGCTATGAAAGCAGCTGATTTCTCTCTCTCGCCCTCCCCCCACACTCACTCCTAAAACTTCCTCCCCAGAGCCACACTTTCAGAGCCTGCGCTTACCTCTGAGAACCCCCCTTGCACGGGGCCCAAAAGCACACGGATGCACTTGTGCTGGGGACAACAGTGTTTTCCAGAAGCCCCGACACAAGATGCCTCCCAGGGGAGGCTGAGAACTGGCCTGAGACCCTGAGAGGGGTCGAGAGCTGCTCCCAGCGCCGTTTCTCCAGTTCCTGCCCTCAGAAAAACAGAAACCAGCAGCCGGGGGATTGGGGTACCACCCCTGCCTCCCACTCTGGCAACTACCGATCTTCTAGCTGTCTCCACAGTTTTGTCTCTTCCAGAATACCTCACAGGGGCGCAGTCTGGCTTCTTTCATGCATAGTGTTTCTGAGGCCCCTCCACAGCCTTTCAACTTCCTTTTTGCAACGACAACACTGCAGGCCCTGCTGAGCGGAGCCCACCCAGGCCATGCTGCAGAGCCCGGGGCTGCTTCCAAGCACTGCAGCTCTGCACGCGGCTGCGTTGGGAGGGAGCGTTCCACTCCTCGGGGTGCGGCCGAGGAGGGTGATTGCGGGGCGGCAGGGTGCATGTGCTGGGTACTGCGACCGTCAGCCCGACGGCGCCCCTCCGCACCACTCCCCCCTTGGGCAGGGTCTGCCCTGTCTTTGCTTCTCTTACGGATTTAACAAGAGTGGCTCGTTTTCTGGTCTGTTCCGCCTCTTCGTTGCTGTCAGCAAGGAGTGTTGACTGCCCAGCTCCTCGCAAGCAGAACCAGGGGCTGGAAGTCCGATTTTTTTTTAAATAACAAAACGTCCAGGAAGTGGCAGATCACACCCCAGAGCCACTTGCTAGGATGTCACGGTGGCACACTGCACTTTGGAGATACCCCGTGGGGTATCCGTGGGGCCGCCCCGCCCTCCGACCGGGCCCGGGGCTGGCTCTGGAGGGTCGGAAACCCCCCTGAAGTGTTTTCAAGCAATTGTTTGTTAATAGCCACAGCTTTAGTGACCAGAAAGAGGTATCTTAGCCCTCTACATCCTAACGGGGCAGGCAGACTGTTAGTCACTGTACAGCGTTTCGCTAAATTACGCTTTAGGAAGGAGGTTTGAGCCTTGTAGTCGACCTAAAATGAACTGTAGCTTTTTCAAACTCAAAACAGCAAGAAACGGCTCCTGGTTGAAAATTTCACTACAGCAGTGATGGGGCCGTGCTGGGGCACACCCCGCGACGCCGAGGGAGACGTGGGTCCACGCACAGGGGCCTGAGGGCTCACGGGAGCTGCGGGTGTCTGGGAATGTCTGACTGGAAAGCTGTAGTGCGGTGCCTCTTGAAAGCAGGCCAAGCAGAAAAAGCAGGAAACAGCGAGTTCTGCACCCATCCCATGTGCCCCAGCGAGCACGTCAGCACTAACACACACGCTGGGAGGACACGGGAAACCCACCGGGAGGGTGACTCACGTACACGGCTGTTGGGGGGGTGGGCACAGAATCTGATCAAAATGGAGAAGGCCTCGGGAGGCAGGCGAGGGAGCCTCACACAGACGCGGGAAGCAAGGGAGGAGGTCGCCCATGGGATATTTAAAATGAAGGATCCTGTTCATCATGAGACACAGGGCAAGCTAGAAATTAGGCAGTTTTAGGGACAGTGCAGGAGGGGACCCCTGAAGAATTTAGGGAGGCTTCAGAGATAAGGACAACCAAGGGAATATAACCAATTCCATTAGGAAAAGCAAACACCCCAGGACCACGGACAATATTAATACTGTTAACGAGGGTCCTAGTTTTCTTCAGGTGATAAAGGGAGGTGGAGGCTAGAGAAATGGAGAGTGGTTTAATGTATGGACAACTAAGAAGGGCAGCTGTTTAACGTCAAGGCAGGGATGCCCATCCAGAGGACTGGGCCATAAAGATAAAGATGCAACAAATGGGGAAAGACAGACCCGTTAGATAAGGAATGTGAAGATCCCCCGCTCAGTAGCAAATTCAGTGAGACAGCCGGGAACTCACCAATCACAGAGAGACGGGCGGAGCTGTAGAATAATGAGGGGAAAAAAGGTCTATGTTCCCTGAGACACGACTCCACTTTGGCTTCCTTGCCCCTCCCAGGCCTGGTCCCCTGGCCTGGGAGTCCCACTTTATTTCTGTTCTTTTTCTCCTCAATAAACTTTTTCTTTCTCTAAACAAACCTGCCTCTTCTCGCTTGCTTGCCTGAGCGTCTGCGAAGTTCCTGCTGCGGCTTCGTGAGACACCCACCCGTGGGGGTCTAGCGGCTGGGGCTCAGCGCTGCCCTGCAGCCTGGGATCCGTTCCTGGCTGGGAGACTAGGCCTGATAATTCCGGTAGCAATCAGAAGACCCCGGCAAGGGGCTGGAAGGCGAGCAGAGCAGGGGAGGCACCTGCAAAGCAGACGCACACAAAGGACTCACACCCTAAATGCCCCAGAGCGGTGGGGGATCGGTCAGGAGAAGCCCCCGGGAGAGCCCTGCAGAGGCCACAGCAGAGGAGAGCGAGGAGAGGGGTCAGCCCTGCCCGACCCCCGCCTGGCTCAGCCAGGGGCGTGAGCTCGGCGACGGCTGCTACGCTTCAACACTGTGTAGGAGCGTGTGCAGGCCGGAGAGTGGGCAGGCCTCCGGCGCCCAACACGCGCCATTCTCTTTATTCTAAGGGCTCCGGAGAGAACGGCAGAGCGGCCGCAGCGAGGGTGGCTGAAGGGGAGACGGGCCTCGCGCAGCAGCGGCCGCACAGTAGGGAGCTTTGTCTCACGGGGATTATGACCCAACTGATTTCGGCCTTAAATTAGAATATTCTGATTTGAATGGAGAAATGATCTTTTTGTCTAAATGAATGGAGTATTCAGCGAGCTCTGCACATCTGCTGATGTCATTTCCTCTTTACTTCAGAAATAATTAAAATGAGAACAGCCAGCGCAAGTCCAAAAGGGAATGAATACCCCCCAATTTGGCAAGTGCCTGGAAATATGGGGAATGACATATTCCCGCAGGATGTACAAGGCCACCGGCCTTGAGGAGTGAAGGGGAAACATTCCAAGGCCTCTGCGCGCTCCAGGCCGCACTGGACACTCTCCCCGGGCCCGCATCCGAACGTCGACGCGAGGCCGGGCGGGTGTCCTGTGACGGCCGCCTGAACACAACAGGTGACCGCGCACAGGGTGGGCGCCGGGTGCGTGACAGCGCAGCCCAAGCAGAAGCGCCTCAACGCTGCATTGCAAGAGGGATGAAAGAGGAGCTGCCAAAGCAGCGTGTGAGGCCCTCGGGGCTCCTGGGGGCGGAGCCGGGCCCCTGGGCGGGCGTCCATGAACGCCGAGACCCCACAAGCTGCGTGTCACTCGCTGCCGGGCAGGGTCGCAAGCCCGAGCACGGCGGTCCCGGCTGTCCTTGCCTCCTTGTCTCATTCCTGGTCGTTCCGTGAGGTGAGGGAGCTCTGTCCACGCCCCTGGCCTGGCGCCTCCGGGCCTCAAGACAGCCGGTGCTTATCTTCGCCCCAGTGGGCCCGAGGCCCCTCGGTTCTCTGTCACAGACCCAGAGCCCAAGCAGCTGGTGGCGTAGACTGCTGGCGGCGGCGCTGTGAGTGCCTGGAGCCACCAGTGCATCCTCGTGCTCTGATGACAAATGTCCCCACAGGAAAGGACGAAGGAAAGAGGCGACACACCGGTGTGGGGCAGAGGGAGCCCAGCAGGTCTCGGCCGGACTCTGCGCGGCCCAGCGTCGCTGTGAGCGTGGACTCGGCCGGGCCACTGCCGGGGTGTGCGGGTGGGTCCCCAGGGGGCCGCGCCTGCAAGGGCCCGAAGGGAGCAGGTGGAGGAAAGGCAAGCAAGGCTGGCTCTGGCAGAAGCAGCACCACGTAAGCAAAGGCGTCTGGGGGGTGAACCGAGCGGCCCCCACAAGGAAGGCAGGCCTGCCCCGCGCCCTCGGGTCAGAGGGCTGAGCTTTCCAGTCCCGGCCCCTCAGGAGCACCCGGGGGGCCTGGTCTTGGTGTGGGTTTTTGGCCTTGGGCACCGTGTGGGGGATCGGGAAGGGGGTTATGCGCCACGGCAGGGGTCACGGGAAGGGCCCAGGTGCTCTGGCGCCGGAGAGCTACAACCCACAGCCGCAGGGGAGCCTGTGTTGTCAACGCAGTGGCAAAATGGAATTCGATGGCTCTCCACTGAGAGAAGATAAAGCAGAGCCGGCGCACCCCACTGTCTGGTGTATCGGTGCTGCCTTTCCACAAAGCCAAGGCCCAAATGACAAGCAAGGCTTTGGTTGCGAGGGTGAGACAAGGGCCGTGCACGAGCGGGAAGGGAAGAGGACGGTGACGCGTCAGCGCTTCAGACACAAGGGGTCACGTGACAAACCCCACCATGACTCTTCAAAATAAATAATTACCCCCCTTTTTGCTTCATTCATTTTTTTAAATCTTTGGATTTTTAATTTCTTCAAAGGAATGAGGCGAACCAAACTCCAGCGCCGCCTCTGTAGTCGGCTGAGTGGAGAGAAGATGGGTTTGGGGGCCCTGAAGTCGCCCCCAGGAGGACCCAGCGCCGGCTCCCACTTAGTCTACTGCAGGGCGATGGGGCCGAGTCCGAGCCGGGACCCCTCCCGAGCCGGGCTGCCCTGTGCTGACGCCTGCGCGGCGCAAGCTTGCTCTCGTGACCACCCGCGACGCCCGTCCCTTCGCGTCCCCGGACAGCCCGTGTCACCCCCACCAGCAATGGTGGCGCTGAGGGGCTTCCTCCGCACGCGCTAACCCTCCTGCGCCCTTTCAGTGGCCACTGTTGGCCTTGGTGCCTCTCACACCCGCACCCCACCAGCCTCTGCCGGCTGTCCCCACGCCGAGGCCGAGCCACCGAGGACACCCTCACTGCCTCAGCGTCCGCCCCTTTACCCGCAACCCCTGCGGGTGTGTGGTCGCACCCGGCAGCTCCTACCACCCTCACATTCTGCCTCGCAGCACCATGTCCGCGTTTGCCCCGGGTCTGCTGAGGCTTCTAGTTACCTCGTGGTGGCCTGAAGCTAGTCCTTGGTTGGATTCCTCAGAAGGACTCGGGAGAATATTCTTTCTCGATTTCTTCCATTTAAAAGCATGCTTGGCCTTTTAATTTAAAAAGACCTTTCATTCCGTATAGACTCTTTGGGTCAAACGTACTGTCCCATGCTGGGGAGCAGCCAACACCCCCCTTTGAGAAGCTGCGTCCTGGCCAGATAACGCTGCGCATGTGAAGGTCGGGAGCAACAATCTCTGCCTGCCCCGCAGTCACTCTTCCCGGTACAGCGTGTCCTTCTAACTGCAGCTTCGAGTTCTCTCATTTCTGGGAACTTTCCCTGATTTATATCTTAAATTTTTTTTTATTGGTTTCCTTCTTTAGGGAGTTGGACTTTTCATCCAGACCCCCCCCCGACCCTGCTAGCTCCTTCATTCACGCGGCTCACCCACGCCACTCCCGTTGCCTGCGCACTTTTAATTTGCTTTCATTTCTTTGATAGTTTTCATTTCCCTTCACCTCCGTGCCTGAGCCTGGGTCTCTGTCCCTCCGGCCTGCCATGTCTCCCCGGAGCACTCGGGTTCTTGATGGAGGCGGCTGGCTTTTCTTTTTTTAACATGTAAAGTGTTTGGTCATGATTTTCATTTGCTCTGCGCCAGGATTTTCTGAGTGTTCTTTGCCACCTTTTTGCTTTTCATGCTTCCTCATCATTTTCTTCTGATGCTGGCTAAGATTCCAAACAGGCCCACGGTCTGATTACATAACGGGGCTGAAGCCCAAGACTGTCAGAGGAGGCGCCCCTGGAGGGGTGCAGTGAGGATGGAGGGCCGGGGGCATACACCCCGCAGGAAAGAATGGGGGGTTGGGGACCCGGTATCTCCTCAAACTCGGTTTCCTTTCATTGGCTGAGGGAAACTGAGGCCGGGGCTCGGCACCCCGAGAGGGACATCAGGGCTGCAGAAGCAGCCCCCGGCCAGCCACTCTGGGGCAGCCGTCCCCGCCGCCGGCCTGGAGCAGCAGAGCCGAGCAGCCGCGGGGCCGAGCGGCCGAAACTGTCCCGGCCGCGGCTGTGACGCCGAGGGGACGCGAGGACCCGGCCGGAGCCGCGGGAGCGTGAGTGTGGCTGGGCGGGGGGCTCAGCGCTCTGGTTGCTGTTCCCGGGGTCGCCTGTCGGGGCCGCGTGGGGTGCCTCGGCGGCTCGGGGAGCGTCTCCTGCCGTGTCTCCGCCGTGCTCGCGAGTTGGGTCCTGGCCTTCTGTCTGGCCCGCGTGCTCCGGGCCCTCGGTGGTGGGAAGACGCCATCTCAGCTGCTTTTCTTTAGGACTTGGAAACACTGGACACTCCTTGGGGTCAGCTAACCAGCTACTTGTGGCCTCGGTGACTCTGTTTTCCCTGGTTTGCTAAATAAATGTCATCGCTGTGTCCCCTGACCTGAGTGGTCTGGAAGGGTGTGAGGGGTGAGGACTCAAGACGCTGACTGGTGAACTACCGGGGCACTGTCCTTAGCCAGTTTAGTGCCCTCACTGCCCAGTATTAGTGACTCGTCTCTGAAGGAAGCTGTGCCTTGGACAGCTGTTTGCAGAAGATTCACGTGGGAGAAGAGTTAGCGCAGTTCAGGGGAGCAGGGAACCCTTCTTGGCTGTGGGGGCAGCCATTCCTGAGCTCTCCCTCCCTCCACCATCAGGGCAGGTGGCGCTGTGCACCCTGGGGTGGCTCCATCTGCCATAATGGGGCAGACCGTCCCTGCAAAGGCTCTGGAGTCCTCCCGGCTCAGCCCCACCCCCTCTGCACCCTGAGATCCCACGGGAACAGGGCCCAGCCTTCAGGGCACCCCAACTCCCACTCCTGCAAACGGCAGGGGCCTCGGGAGAAGGCCGCTTGCTGGTTGGGTGCTTTCCCTGGTCCGCAGCCACTCGTGTCTTCTGCCCACTCCTGCTCGCTCGGGGCTCCGGCTGCCCTTCGGGAGCCCTCTCCTCTGACTTCCCGCTGGGGTTTCAGACGCCGCCTAACTTCTTCAAAGTCAGACCTTCCATTTCTGTCCCCCACCCCTGTGCGGGGTGGTTTTCGAGGGGGCTAGAGAAAGGCTTCTTTACCAAACTTGACCTGAACTCGCCTGGCCAGGAGCTCCTGTGCACGCCAGCACGTTCCCTGCTGCAGACGACCGACCTCTGCCTGCTGCCGTCGCTCCCTCCCCCAGCAAGCGAGGCATTTTCTTGGACATGTGGATCTCAATTACAATTTTAAATAGCAACATGATATTCCCAAGAACTTCCTTTTAACTAAGAGTATCATGAGACACCGAAATGTTTAAATTTTTAAGTAAACAATCCCACATAAACCAGAAGTCATGACCCTGAAAAATCAAATTTTCCACATTTTTGTTCCCTTATAAGTCAGGAAAGATGAAGGGCTTCTTCCACGGATTTTTAGAAATAAAACAAGCAGGCCAAGGCTTTCAAAAGCAGGTGACCAAGGTTCTTTTTAAAAGTAACTGTTTCCACGACCTTTGATCCCCCTATAATAAATACACTCTTTCCTGGTTTCTCATTTATAGGACTGAGAAAATGCAAACAACAAAACCAGCCAAGTCCCACACCAAGGACAGGCAGCCTGGCGCTCTCGATCAGAAAGGCGGGCAGGAGAATGACGGGCTCCCGTCCAGCAAGCGGAGTCTGCGGGGCGCGGGCAAACTGCTGTGGCCTGTGAGTCTTCACTAAACCGTGTCTTCTAATTCGTTCCTTAACTAATTGAGACAGAGCTACACAGACACTGGCCCTTGAGCCTCCTGTAACTGCAGCGGCAGTGAAAACCTGTTCCTCCAGCGGACCTTTGAGACAATAACATTTCTCAACGCGCACCCCCGAGGGCGGGCACTGAGCACCACCACTTCAAAGCCACTGTCCTGCACGAAGCCGACCAGCAGGTGCGCGAGGCTGCCGGCCGCTACCTGTGCTCCGGGGTCAGTGGCCCCATGCTGGGCCAGCCCCGGCCTGCAGAGGCTTCAGCGCCTCGAGCCCAGCAGACAACACCCAAGTGCTCCCGGGACCAGGGAGGCTCTGCTGCTGGTAGCCTGGAGATGGGCTAGGAGCAGCCCGGGCTGGGCCCCTGCTCGCCCAGCAAGTTGGGGTGGGCGGCTGGGCACAGAACGCAGTGAACCCCGGTGCGTTAGCCAGCTAAGGGGCCCAGACGCGGGAGTGTGGCTGTGGAAAGCTTCGGGCGGGGCTGGGCAGGGCGGCCGGGTAGAGGCCCTGTGACCAAGTGCAGGGGCGGGGCCTGCGGGGTTCAGGCAGGAGGGCGGCTGGCCGGGGGTGGGGGGGTGCCAGTGGGGTGGCAGGGCTCATGAGGGGCAAAGAATCCCAAGTCTGGTCCCGGCCGCCCCATCCGCGTGGCTGCAGGCCAGTCTGTGATGGCAGCACGGGCAGCAGGTGTTGGCCAGGGGACGGGGCGATGCCACGGCTCCTGGGACTCCGTCTCTGACAGGCACTGACTACCCGGGTGGGGTGTGAGGCGGTGGCCACCAGCAAGGCGGGGCGCACGTGTCCTCACGCTCACCCCAACGTTGTTTTTCACGCACTCAAACCACACAGCCGCAGTCACAGAAATAAAAATATGGGCCCCATCTTCCAGAAGCTAAATATAGAAGAGCAGAAAAATACACACAATTACAACACTTTGTGAATGTTTAACAACAAAAGCTTGTACAGGGCGTGACTGAGAAGTGACTGATTAACTCTGCCGGGGAGGTGGGAAAATCTCGGAGGTTTCCAGAGGAAGACACCTGCCGAGGTAAGTCTTGAAGGAAAGGTGGGCTTGCCAGGTGACGAGAGGAGGCGCATCTAGAAAGGGAAAACATCGGGAGCAGAGACACGGAGGTGTGAGGCCGCCCCGCTGCCCCAGGAGCAGCAAATGCCGAGTGTGGGCCACGCGGGAGCGTCCACCGTGGATGGGGCTGGGTGGCCAGCAAGGCCCAGCACTTAGCGCCTCACTCAGGTGAGCCCAAGTGCCAGGTGCACACACCAGGCTATAGGGACACAAGGCACTCGGGTGAGGCAGACGCAGGCCAGGGCACCGGCCCAGGCCCCTGGGTCCAGGCCCACACCGCGCAGTGCCCGAGTCTGTAGGGATGACGAAGACAGGACTGGCCGGGACTGGGAAGGCCACCTGGATGGACCCAAGGGGGCTGCAGTGGTCACCAGCGCAGGGAACTGAGGTTTCCAGGCAGCAAGCCTCCTGGGGGGCACTGGACTGGGCGGCGTCATGGAGGAGGGCAGAGCTGGCAGCAGTGCCGGGCCAGGCCGTGAAAGTGGATCCAAAGAGGAAAGGCCTTTCCTCTGTCCTCGGGCAACGACAATCGCTCCCTCAGGCCTTCAACTTTACGAGTGACCAAGAGCCACACAGCCTGACCAGTAATCGAGGTATTAAACAAGATTTCGTGTTCACGAACCAATGAGATGTTGTCACAGCTAAGCAGCTTTAGCTGTCGTCGTCCACAGTGAGAAAAGCACGTCCCCGCATGAGCCGGGCACGGCCACACGTCACGGGGCAGCCGCCCAGCGCCTGCTGTCCCGCGGGGCTCGCCGGCATTCACGTCCCATCTCGTTTCTAAATGACAGGCGAGTGGCCGCTGAGACAGCGGACGCCCCCCCACGCCCCTGGGACCTGGGGCCGCTGGCAAGGCTTCCACCGGCAGGAGCGCTCGCGGGCACACAGCCTGGCTCTGACGGCCACGGGAGTGCACTGCGCGCAGACCAGCACCCCCCCCCCCCCCCCCCCCGCCTGCACAGGGCAGCCGGGCGAGGCCAGCTCAGCTTCTCGAGCAGCTCCCGGCTGCCTGCGGCCCAGCACCACGGAGCAGTCAGGCTCCTCGCCCCACCCTGGCCTGAGCCCCGGCCAGCCCCGGCCAGAACCCGCAGCGGGAGGAAAGGGCACCTGGGCCGGCTCGCAGCCCGCAGCAGCAGTGAGCGGCAGAGCCAGCGGCAGCGCCTACAGATCATGTCACGGCCCGTCAGTGGACACTGGACCAACAGTGGCTTGCAGACAGCCCTCGGGGTGCGAAGCCGGCGCCCCACCTGCACACTGAGATAGGTGGGCCAGGGAGAGGGCTCAGGAGGAGGGCATGTCTGGGTCACAGCTCGAAAGGCCAAGACTTGGCTGAGCCGCGGGTCATGGGCTGAGTCTCGCGGTGGCCCGGGCTCCTGAGGGCAGTCACGGTGCCTGCATGACTCTCTGTCGGTACCCCAGCACCCCGCACCCCACGAAAAGGCGGGGCCTGGTGTCAAGGCTGCTGCCTCAGCCCCGCCCGCTCTCGCTGCAGCCAGCCCCATCGGCAGCCTCAGACCTTTCTGTTAATGGGTGACTTTCACCTAAATATAAACTCAGGTCAACCCATGAAGGACTAGTGGATTCTTTTTTTTTTTTTTTTAAATATTTATTTATACAAGAACTGGGGTACACGCCAGAGGCGCGGGAGGATGAGAGGATTCACCAGAGACAGAGCGGGGAGCAGAGCAGGCAGACTGAAGAAATCCACTGCTGAGGGGAGCAGCGGGAGAGACAGGAGAGGTCTGCTGTGCCCTGTGGGAATCTCCCTGGCCAGGAATCGAACCTGCACGGCAGAGGCTGCGCACAGCTTCACAGCGCTGTGCTCAACTCGCTGCCCCACCGGGGAGGTCCAGGACTAGCAGATTCTAAAAAGGACGGGGAGAAGCGTTCTCAGGGGCCGGAGTGCCCGCAGGCTTGGCTCAGAGTACGGCAGGGCGGTTGGTTGATGGGTTTTGGTTTCTTTCTCTAAACATCCCTGCCATGTGGGGGTCTTTGGCCCAGAGAGCAGACAGGAGGAGCACGACTTGGACAGGACCCCCCGGGAGAACAGCTGGAAACT